TCAACACGGAGCCTTGGCTCACACCGAACAGCAAGCTATAAAGGGCCCCAAAAATTACTAGTGTAAAACCATTCAAACGGGAAAACCAACGGTCTAACACTTATGAACCACATCAACAAACGACAACTACTGAACATCAGATTCCTGACTTAGGACAGGTGCAAACAATTGCAGCGGGTTTAAATGTTTTAATGGTACCAAACCTTCACCCTTATTTGTTTGTTTTAAGAGTGATTAAGATTATAACACAATGTGGACTGCTGTACCCCTAATTTTGACATTTTTACCTATTAGGCCTGTTTGTTTTGTTCACACATTGTTGTCAATATCTGGGACTATAATACTAACATAGCATAATAGTCCCAGTCAATATAAAGGAATTTTATGCCACTGTCATACAAGTGAGAGGTTTAGCTAGCTAGAAAACCAGGTTTAATCCACCATTTTCTACATAAGGAAGCCTTTGGAGACTCCCCGGGCTTTGGATTTTGGTTTATTGCGACAACTTGAACTGACCAAGCGCAAAACGAGTCTAAGGGCGAAAGATTACAGCTCCTACATTATGGAATAGCTTGCCTGACCATTTCAGGACTGAAAATAACTTCTCCCAGTTTAAAGCTTAATTCAGTCCTGGAATGGATCAGAATGTAGATGTAGTGCATGTGTAACAGTGGTTTGATTCCGCCAGTGTACTTTATCCAGAGGAAGAAAATCCCCAGTGATTTTTATCCACCAACAAAAATTCACTAGGTTTTTCTATCCGGGTCCAGTGTAAAACATCCACCAGTCATTATAAGGTTCTAAAAAGGGTTTTTTGAAGGGGAAACATATATAAAATGTGACTTTATAGTTTTTAGTGTATTTGAAACTTGCATAAATGATTTATGTAAAAAGTGGAGAGTTTTCATCCAAGGAATGTTCACACTAGTGTTTTTAAACAAGGAATGATTACACTAGTGATTTTGTACCGGAATGATTGCACTAGTTATTTTATACCGGGATTAATTACACTAGTGCTTTAGATCCATACATTGATGAAGTGATTAGTACTCATTTTCAACACACGATAACACAATAATGCTTATTAACGAATAAGATTTAAATAATTTTTCTATGCAAATCTTTAAAATCATATGCTTTTAAATTGTCACTAATTGTAATATTTATATTTATTGGATTGTTCGAAGTTTTTCTGTGTATTTGCTTTTCGGTCAACTTCTATAATTGAAACTTTATGTAAGAACAAATCTGCTCTTAAAATTTGGTTTATATCAAGTTCAATGTCCTGATCATTGATAAATTATTTTGAGTTATAAAAACATCCTCCTCATCATCATCAATATTATTTATAATTACTAGATTGACTCAGATTAATTAAAATGGTTCCTTGAAAATCATTTTAATTTTAACCCATTTATTTATGTAAACAATAAACCGGTCTAATATAAACAAAACAACGATATCAAGATCGACGCTTTCACACTATTTACATCCAATATTCTCTAGTGAAAAACAGTTACCCGGAATAAATACACGGCGGAATGAAAGTACGCTTACACATGCAAGAAGTATTTTTTTTTAATTTGTTCTCATAGCTTTTAATTTTTTCATTTACTTTTTAGTTACTTATAGTGCTTAATGATTTTATTGCTTTGCATGGCTATTCTATTCATTTTATGTGTGCTTATATGTTCTGCTTATATATGTATGCTTTGATTGCCTTGCATGTATATCATATTTATTCTATGTCTGTTGTGTATATCTGTTTTATGTTATGTGTTTTGTTTTATATATTCGGTGAAAAGCTCTCAAAGAGCTTATGTTTGTATGTTTTAAACCATGCCGAATCAAAATAAAGTTTCAGTCTTATCTTATCTTATCTTATCTTATCTTATACACCTTATCGCTATTCCCGCTTGACCCGAGAATATGTTCCGCTTGAACTTTTTGACGTCATACAACAATCACTTTTCCATTGTGGCGTCAGATATTTTCTATTATGACGTCAAAATTTTACTGGAACTTTTGTGGTGTCCAGTAATGGCGGACAAATAGCGATAAGGTGGTGAAATGTCCTAATACAGACAGAGACATATAATACACTGTGATACAGATACCTTTAACTATTATATCCTCGTGTATTGTGTTTTCGACCTACTTACAATTTATCAATATTTCCCCTTTAATATGTTTGAACATATACATGCCTAATATTTTTTAGAGTCACTAGTATACTTGTACATTAAATAATTGTATCTAAAATATATTTCGATCTTAAATATTTTTTTTATTTCAGTTCATTAGATCGATGGCACCTTTGTTGACAAAAACTAGCGTCTTGTGTTTTCGACCTATCTAAGAAACGGGTCCAAAGTCGGAAATGACATGTCGTACAAATCCGGAATTGATTATAATTTGATGCCAATGTTTATATCAAATTATTCAAAGTTTTAGAGGCGATCAAACTTATGATTTAGTGAATTAAATGGTGACATATACAACTATAAGATATAAAATATTATTTTGATATCTTTATTTGACTAGTTGTACCAGAGACATATATACATATATGTCTCTGGTTGTACACATTTCACATGAGGCACTTTGGAAACCTTGTAGGACCTTGTATACAGTCATGTTTCTGTTCAATATACTTCAGTCAGAGACATATAATACAAGAGATTCGCAACTCGGGGAAATCCCGTAATAACACGCGGCCACTAGTTAAACCTCGCGAGATCTCCTTAGGTAATAAAGTCATTAATAAAAGTATTAAAAGTACTCGAAGTACGGACGAATGTTTAAGCATAACATAAACTGTTTCAGTGTTAAATTTATCATAATCAATTAAATAATTTGAGTACATATATAATTATTTATTTTAATGTAATTTTGATTTTAGATTTGTATTATTGAAAAAGAGACATGATTTGATATTGTATTAAAAACTGATATTAAATAATTAACACTTGATAAATTGAATCAGAGTTTATTTTATTTGATAGTTACATAATGGGTTTCTATTGAATATACACCTGTCTCGGAGACATAATTTCACAGTGTGACATGTATATTAGGTTTGAATTATTCGATGACCAGGTAAATCACGAACATGTTATAAACAATGAGTTTTAATTGACACCTTGTAAACAAGAAGTTGTTACACCACAGGTGTCCACACTCTTTCCAAAAATATAATTCACAAAATGTAAAATCAATTAATGTGGAAAAAAACTTAATTTATTTGTTAATTAATTGTTAATCATGATAGGCTTTGTTTTTTATTCTTTATATTTATAAATTATTAAAATTTTATTTATTTTTATATTCATCATTTATTGGGCTTGCATTGATTTTCTCTGTAGGATTGTCGGTAAATGTTTGATTTCTAAGTGTTGTTTGACAGTTTCATCATAGGCTTGCATTGAGGTTTTTTTTAAATGATTGTCGGTAAATTTATGGTTTCTTCATGTTCGAAGTGTGTATTGAGAATTAATATTTAAGAAAATTACAATTAATTTCTCACTTGAATAAAACTTCATTCATGTGCACGCAATATGGAAAATTCCGATTTTATTTCGTGGGATGACAATCATAATAAATAACAAAATAATAGTCACCTTTGTTGATATTTTTAGAAATAACTGTTGTATCAAATTTTACGAAACTGGTCTTATTTTCACGACATAACATCTGAGAGTAATATAGCCCCATACAGTTGAATATTTATTCGCACATTTCCAAGTTTTACGAGATAAAATGATAGTACCAGCACAGCTGGCTTCGAGTATCAATAAGAAAAAATCGCCACATTTGTTGATAATTTTGAAAAAAAAACACTATTGGATCAAATTTTACGAAAATAGTCTTATTTTCACGAAACAACAACATTTGGGAGTATTATTGCCCCATAAAATTATATATTTATTAGCATATTTCCAAGTTTTAAGAAAAAAATTGGGAGATCAAATGGTTTCTACGGCAATAGGTGAAGTAAAATGGGCCGAGTTTTAACTTTGTTTGTATTTGATTAATCTCATCATTAGAACACATTTTATCAATAACAAATTATTAGAATTAGTTTTTTGTAACTTTTAAATATACTTGCATGCTTCAGCTGTGAAAGGTATCGGCATTATCCATTAGAAAAATCGTGAGGCGTAGAACCTTTTTCACAACAATAGCGATTTTTACCCATAAATTCATCGGAATAATCGGCTTTCCGGTGGCCATGTCATTTCATTGGCTGTTATATAGACTCTACTAGAGTTGCGAATCTCTTGTATTATATGTCTCTGCTTCAGTGAAGGCATTATAAAGTGAGGTTGGTGAGTATTGTCTGTAATCTCCCCTGACAGACTGCTGTTTCTGTGAATTAAAATTAATTGATATTTTATTTTTTTCAGCAAAAAACTGTAAGAATCATCCACATTTCCGTATTAAAAATAACTTTTAAGTATATCACCTAACCACATGACAGTCATGTGACGTAATGACCTTGATGTTAACTTCACATGCTAAAAGTCCTCGGCCATATTTCTAGAATATTTGTTTATTTTTGATAGATTCTTGTGGAAGGTAAAAAAAGTATTAGTGAAAAGGTACAAAAATGTGATATCAAATAAAATAACGTAAATACTTAATTATAATAACTTTACTTGAAACATCTTCACCACACGTGGTATTATTTGCTATTGTTACTAAATATAGCAGCCAAATGTGACGTCACACGGGCATGCGCAGCATACGGGAAGTGAAAGTAGAATTAGGTCGAAAACACAATACGAGACGATACTATGACATATATATATATATTTCTGGTCCCAGCTAGTTAACAGGGCTTTAAAAACTCATATGATAAAATTGATCATGATATTTATTTAAGTATTCATGAGATATAATTTTTTATCTCTTAAAATTTTCGTGAAGAAAACAGCTTTTCATAATTTCCCTCCGAAAAAACTTTTGAAAGACTAGTTCCCTGTAAATCTTTAACCTTATCATCTGGACAAGTCCTCTAATTGCGGATACCAGTTTTGATTCATTAGACAACAGCAGATGCTGCTTTGATCACGATCTGGTAGCTGCATTTGTTTAGAACCAAAAATATTGAAAAACTCTAGTGATATTATAAAGATACAACAAAATCGACATATGAAATGTCAAAAAATGAGTGTTCTGTGTAACTGCAGAAGTTGTCCAGATAATCAGACCTTCTTTTACTTTAGGGACACAGGCCACAGGCACTTGTTTTCTATCCATTACGTAATATATAGGGATAGTAGATCTTGTCATGGATAGAAAACAAGTGCCTGTGACACAGGCACTTGTTTCTATCCATGGGAAGGTTGGCTACCCATATATATAATATATGGATAGTCGACCTGCCTATGGATAGAAACAAGTGCCTGTGAATAGGGGTCCCAGTTAGGCCTTAGGAATTCCATCATGCAAAACAAAAGTACGGAAAACGATCAGAGAGTGGAACACCCTGTCAAGTTTTCATGAAGTAAATGAGTGAGATTTGGCAAAAATTGTAAAGATCAAAGAGAAAAAACAATAGACCAAAGTAAAATACTGCCAAATAAGCATGAAAATACGTTAAGACTTGACAGCACTGAAACTGTACTGTCTCTGCCAGAGTCCTGAATCTTTCAAAGCTCAGCTCTGTCATTAAAGGAGTATTAGTTCGGTAAGGCCTAAGGGCCAAGTTGGCCCCGATTATTAGGTTCAATGTTTCAGGATAAAACGTGTTTTAAGTTGATGAAAAGTCATGAGAAAGTTAAATAAAACTATTTTTGCCAAAGTTTATTTGAGCATTGATTTTTACATCCCAAATAGGTTAAAAGTAGAGATTTTTGCGACATTGGACAAAATCGTCCGGATTTCAACCTAATTATGACGTAGGAACATAAAGAGCGCAGGCGTCGACAAACAAAATATTCAAGTCAGATATGTAAAATTTCATAACAAACATTTACTTGCAACTGTATATTTTCAATATAGTTTCAACATTTGGAATAGAGAACAATTGGCTGAAAATCGAAGTGTAGAAAGAAATGGTCAAAAATATAAAAAGATGTAGAAATGACGTCTGCTCAGATTATTTTTTGATTTGATTATTTATGCTATAGATGTGCCAACTGGTACCCAATTTTCAGTTTTTATTACGGTGGGGGCATTAAGTTTTACCCTTGTCCGTCTGTACGTACGAACGTACATACGTACGTACGTATGTCCGTCCGTACGTCCCAAAATTGGTTTCCGTTCTCTAACTTCAGTTTGCCTCAACCAAATGTTATGAAACTTATACACAATGCTTATTACCACAAAACACAGATCAAGTTTGAATTTTGGTGGCGTCACTGTAACCGTTCTAGAGTTATGCCCCTTTATAAATGGAATAATTGGAAAATTTTTAGTTTCCGTTCTCTAACTTAAGTTTGCCTCAACCAAATGTTATGAAACATATACACAGTGCTTATTGCCACAAAACCCAGATCAAGTTTGAATTTTGGTGGTGTCACTTTAACCGTTCTAGAGTTATGCCTCTTTATAAATGGAAAAATTGCAAAATTTTTAGTTTCCGTTCTCTAACTTAAGTTTGCCTCAACCAAATGTTATGAAACTTCTACACAATGCTTATTACCACAAAACACAGATCAAGTTTGAATTTTGGTGGAGTCACTTAACCGTTCTAGAGTTATACCCCTTTATAAAAGAAAAATTGCAAAATTTTTATTTTCTTGTAAATATCAAGTAATTTATATTAAAATTGGAGTTATCTTCCTTTGTCCATGATTATAGTTGAATCAACTACAATCAATGCTTTATACAATGCAATGTTTAATTTTGACTTCCACTGATAAAACACAGATCAAGTTGAATTTGGGTAGTGTCACTTTAACCATTATTGAGGTATGCCCTTTATAAATCGAAAGATTGCAAAATTTTTAGTTTCCATTCTGTTACTTTAGTTTGCCCCAACCAAACATTATGAAACCTATACACAATATTCATCACCACAAAACTAAGATCAAGTACAAATTTTTTGTTTCCGTTTTCTAACTTTAGTTTGCCTCAACCAACTGTTATGAAACTTATACACAATTCTTATTACTACATAATACAGATTAAGTACGAAATAAGGTGGCGACACTTTTACCATTCTTGAGTTATGTCCCTTTATAAACATAAAAATTGCTGAATTTTTTTGTTTGTTTCAACTTAATGTTATAAAACTTATACACACATTTGTTCTAGAGTTATGCATGTTTACAAATAGAAAAAATGCTGAATTTTTAGTTTCTGTTCTCTTCTTAAGTTAGCCTAAACAAAATGTTATGAGACTTACACACATGCTTATTACCACAAAACTAAGATCAAATTCAAATTTGGGTAGCGTCACTTTTACCGTTCTTCAGTTATGTCCCTTTATAACTATATGATATGCAAGAGGGGGCATCATCTGTGTCCACATGTGGACACTATCCACATTTATTTTTATTCATATGCAATATATTATAATTATTTTCTATCATATAAAATCCATAAAAAAAACAAAAAGACTGAACAAAATCTAATATATATGTATAAACATTTGGATTTGTTTAATTCATGTAGTAGCTTTATAATATCAAAAGGATGGTGAAGTCCTCTGAGATAAACAAAAAAAAAATAATACAAATCCAACAATAAATCAGTCAAACAATAGATTTTCCAAAAGTCTCTTCAGATTTCAAACTAAAGATGAAGTGCCTTGTGTCCACATTTACCTACAAGGATTAAACTGACGAATGTGTTATTTCACAATTAAAGAGATTAAGCTACATTCCAAACTAAACCATCATTTCTGTCGATGGACATTTATTTTTTTACCACTAGATCAGAGACTTGCATACTATACATGTCTCCAACAAGATCAACTATAAAATACAAAATTACCATTAAGTTTAAGATTTGTCTTATTAAATCAAACATAACATTAATAATGCTACAAAAGTGGGTACAAGTTGGTAGAAGTATGGGTTTGTAAAAGTACGAGTTGGTAGAAGTTGGAGTTGGTAAAAGTACGAGTTGGTAGAAGTGTAACCTGCACAAAATAGAAAACCTGATTTAGTGTCTGTGTGACAGCTCATTTCTTGTTTTTGTATTCATATAGTAGCAGTCCAATTCTAAATAACAAAATGACTGATTTTCATAATTTTTCAGAATGCATAAGTTTTGAATTTATGTTGGTCATATATGTTCAGATTGTGAAATTTACTAATTAGCAAACATGACTGTTTAAAGACCCTTGGTTTGTAGAAATAAGTTGTATAAATCATGATTTGATCTTGCAAATTTATTTATTAATGATAATACTATAGCATGTATTACGAGGTGTTAATCATTTTGGAAAATTTAGATAATTTTCCTGCCATTAAAAGATAACCTGTTCCTGTTTATCAAACAGAAACTGTTTATTAAGGCTATCTTGATTGGAGCCATTTGTTGAAAATAAGTTCATTACATTAGTACATACACATGATACCTGGTATTTAAAAAAAAAAAAATAAGTTCATATTTGGTATTCTATTAATGAAAGTCAAGATCTAATCATCTTAATATTTATTATACAGATATGGCTTGTGAAGAGATAAAAAACACAGATCCAAATTGGGAGACAGAAGAAGCTATTGCTGAAAACTTAGATCTTCCAAAGTGGTCTACAAAAAATGTTGTTAAACTTTTGGAAGAAGGTTGCACAATTCCGTTTATAGCAAGATATCGTAAAGAAATGACAGGAGGAATGGAAGTTGATAAACTCAGAGATATTCAGTCATCTTTAGAAGAGCTCAAGTATTATTTTGTTTTTGAATATATATGTTCATGAATAATTATTCAGTGCAAACTACAAAATGTAGGTGTATTAAAAAAAATCTTTAAAGAAGTGCAGTTACACCTAGGACTAATATTGTTAGTGTAATAGTCCCAGGTTACAGACATCTCTTTTTTGGTTATGTTTATTGCTACAAAGAGTGTGGGACAATTAGACTTTGTCAATATATTTTCATTTAGAACAACTTAGATCATCAAAACAAAGCAAATACTTTCATAATGAAAATGAATATGTTATTTGATATTTTAAGTGTACATAAAAATTTGTTTACAGTAAATGGGTAACAAAATAAAAATTAAACCAGACACCTAGGTACTATTCAATCATTATGAAATCTTTTCATCTTTTTGGATATTGCCTATATGTTTGTTCATTTGATAATTTCAGACATGTCCAGAATAAAATTGCAACTGTATTGAAAGCCATCAATAAACTAGGCAAGCTTACACAGGGATTAGAAAAATGTCTGAAGAATTCTAAAACGATAACAGAGATCGATGATTTGGTAAGTTCAGGATAATTGAAAAGTATTGTAAAAAATTAGTTTCTTTGTACATACTTTTGGTAAGGAACTTTATACAGCACATTATGGAGTTATGAAGATGGGGCTCTGGAATCATGAAGTTAACTTTTGAGCTTGTATTCAGTAACTGCATGTATTTTTTGATACACTATTGTTAACCCCTCATCTTTTATAAGCAGAATGTATACCAGTTTATCGGCAATTTGTACATTTTTCCTTTGATCTTACTGCCTAATATTTGTTAAGATTATGGACAGGACTTGATACTCGAAAATATTAGGCAATGACATCATGTACCAGTGCTGCAATGTCACGTGTCATGTGCCAGTGCTGCAATGTCGTGTGTCATGTGCCAGTGCTGCAACGTTGAGATTTCATGTCCATCCACATTAATTTATCAATGAAATGCAAGCAACTTCATTCATACAACCGAACAACTATCACAACGTTTTGTACGCTTAAAAGTAGTTTTACTAACTTATTCATTTTATTTCATATTCTCAACAACAACATAATTTTGTTGAGACAAATTGCTGATAAAAAGAATAATGGCATTTTATTTTTTGATACTGACTTCATCAGCTAGCGGGCTTGCTTGCTATTCTTGCAGATAAAGTCAGTATCAAAAACAAAAATGCCATTATTCTGTATATATTGATTAGATGTGAGTCAGTGCTTCAGTTGTCCATCCATCTCATTTTTGTATCCACTACTGCTCCTGAACAGCTGGACAGAATTTTATGAAACTTTTACAGAATCTTACTCGCATAAACAGGTTGATATACTTTTGATTCTCCTATTTAATTTATTTATCTGAATAATTTTTTGGGGTTTACTCTGGCATAACATGGAATTTGTCTTATCTAATACACAATACACTACATTTAACATTTTTTATCCTCTTAGTCCTCTTTTTCTAAACCATTAAAATTTTAAATAACTTTCTCAGCAAAATTAACATATAATGTCAATGTGCACCCCCTATTTTTATCCTTTTTATTTTAGGCTTTCTGTTTGTAAATCAAGGGCCAGAGGGATCATTTTGGGAGCTTTGCTTGTAGAACATCTATAATTTTGAAGTTATGAACCATTATAAAAAAACTCTAGGATTCCCAATTGGACTCACAGAAAGTAGCTGTGCAGTGGAAAGTCAAAGAAATATTGGGTGTCTGTCTGTCTTTTCGTCTGCCCATCCTATCCTGTAAGCATTTTCAAATGTGCAGTTCTTGCCAGTTTTTTATGAAATTTATATCAGCAATGTCTTGGAAGATTTCGAAAATCAGCCCCAATATCATTATTTTAGGGGTGGTATGTCCCTTGGAAATGTAAACTCTACAGGAAATTGCTAATAGCTCTCTCAAGTGTACAATTCTAGCCCGATTTTTTTTATAAAATGTATTTCCAAGGTTTATATGACTAGCATGTTAGACAAATGGAAAATCAGTGCCGATCGACTATTTTTAAAGGAGTTATGTCCGTTGGAGTTATGTAGAAAAATTGCATTATAGCCCCTTTCATATCTACATTTCTTTTCAGAATGTTATGAAATTAACACCAAAGGTTTATATCAGCAATGTCTTGGACAAGATTGAACATCAGGGCTGATCAATAATTTTTACGGGAGTAATGTTCGTTTGAAACTACAAGGACAAATGTTGACCCAGCTTTTCAAGAGTAATCTTTATTTGTGATTTCTTCTGTTTGAAAAAAAGTAAACTTACCCTTAGTCTTTGAACATGATTTCGTGAAAATATCAAATTGAAATTGAAAAGAAATTGACATTCTAATTTAGTGACCTTTGACACATGTAGATTGATCACATTATAAATGTGATGCATTGAAAAAATTGCTCACCTTTCTGAAAAATGGCAGTAATGCAACTATATGCAAAAGTACTATGTTATGTTTTATGCAATAGTACTAACTATTATACCAATTTTATTTTTGTTCATCACTACATCAATGGAAGACTAAAGATTGGTTTAACATTATGTACACAATTCTTTCAATCTTTCCTCTAGTGATTTTGATCACTTTGACTATATATTCTGAATAACTCTATAATTATTTTGTTATTCAACATTTTTACATTATTTAGTATGCCCCTTTCAAACCTGGACATAAAGGTACACTAGCAGAAAGAGCTAGAGCTCTGAATTTAGAACCACTAGCTATAACTTTCCTTGACAGACCCTGGGAAGGTAATGTTCAGCAGTATGTGGATCCAAATGTTAAAGGTATGTCAAATTATATTTAAAATTGACAAAGAATTAGAATAACGGTGAAAATAGAGAGAAATAAACATATTACTATAAAATACTATTGAACACTATTGACCTGTAATATCAAATGGTGTTTGATTGACTAAATATATCTTGTAATTTTAAAACCTTTTTTGGTTGGGTTTCTTTTTTCTCACATACAGCAAGCCATGCAATATTTGTGGAATTAGATTCTACATTTTTCTAAATTAGATTATAGATTTTTCTTTTATTAATTTGAGATAGATGTTGTTGGACAAGATGAGATATTTTGATATCATGAAATATAACTTATGTTACCATGCCCTTTTTTGAATTATGGAAATTTTGTAATCATTTTAAAAAATGATGACTGTTTAAAAAAAATTTTAGACATGTATTTTTGACTAATAATTGCCAAAATGTTTTTTTTTTATTTATGCTCTTATTAAAAACCAAATTTGAAAAAAATAAAACTTTAACATTATTTTTTGGTTAGTTCCATCAGTTAATGTGAAAGTGTTTTCCTCTTTTATCCACTGATTTTATGCATTGATTTCAGACACTACCTTGGATTTTTGTACATATTTAAACAGATACTAAATATTTAAAAGTGTTTTCTGTTTTAAAATAACGTTAGTATATAAAATAAGATAATGTAAAATTAATGTAAAATAAGATAATGATAATTAAATAATATGAATACTCCTCAGAATTTGTATCTCCCTGTACATAAGAATGAGAAACATAAATGATATTCTTTAAAATCATGTAATTAAAACCTATTTTCATTATCATTGAAAATTGCTATTTATAATGAAATCCTTGTAAAATCATGAAAAACTGGTTTACAGCAAAAAAAAAAGTTGAAATAACTATATAATTCAGGTTTACAGAAGTTGTCAGATGTAGAAACTGGTGTTAAACATATACTAGCAGATATCATGCATAAACATAAAGACTGTATGGATTTTATCAGAGGATGGTAAGTATAGTCTTATCAGTTTTTGTCTTCTGAATTTCCCATAGGAAAGAATTGAAAAAAGTTGACTGGTAGCTTAAATTTTAGAGTTTTTCCCAGTAATTTTCATACCAAAGTTAAAGAAAAATCAAATGACTTTTTCTCCCAATAATCAGTTTTCCTTTTACATTTATTTAATGAACGCAATATTTTCACTACAAATAATATCACAAATGGTGTTTGGGCAATTTGGGGCATCTGGACCATCAACTTTTCAGTTTCCAGACATATTTTTTGAACTATGAACATCTTTACCAAACTTGGTTCGATAATGCCCCAAATGATGAGTAAACATACTATTGATTTTGTGGTCAAAAATCAACACAGCAGCTATCCATAGACATAAATTTAAAAAAAAGTTTGGTTTCGAGATGCTACGTCCAACTTTTACCAAAATTAATTTGATAATGCCCCATGGAGTGAGAAAGAACCTTATTGAATTTTTGGTCAGTAGCTTTATATTGATAGACAAATTGGTTCAAAATTTGGTTTCTTGATTATATCTTTTAATCCATGTTTGGCCATAGAATGCCCCTTGGAAAGAAGAACTTTGTATATTTTAGGCAGTAGAACTAAGGTCATGTTCAATAAATTTTTTCCATCATTAAATGTAAATTGTCAGCAGGCTACAGATACAAACAGAAAAGAACCTGTTTCAAAAATCTGTGGCTTCTACAAATTGATAAAGGTCGAAACTCAGCTTACGTATCCATGGTGCTTTTGAAATTCTTCAAGCTTAAAGAACCCCATCAGTGGTTTTCTTTTTATGTATCATAATAATTTCTGTCCTCGAGCAAATTTGGTGTTGATAGCTGATGTTTGATTCTCTTTTATATTTCTTAACAACTTTATATTATCGATACTCAGGTTAAAGTTTTTGGTCAAGGTAGTTTTTGATGAAGTTGAAGTCCAATCAACTTGAAACTTAGTACACATGTTCCCTATGATATGATCTTTCTAATTTTAATGCCAAATTAGAGTTTTGACCCCATTTTCACGGTCCACTGAACATAGAAAATGATAGTGTGAGTGGGGCATCCGTGTACTGTGGACACATTCTTATTATTTGTGTCTTTGGGTTGCTGTGTCTAATTAAGCATTGAGATAAGCTTCAAAGACTGTTGACGGTCATATAACCCAATAATAACATAAATATAAACATAAATAGATAGTGAGCACTTGCAATTGGATTTTTCTAGGTCTGTTTGATTTCATGTTATAGGTTAAAAAAATATGATAATCATTGTTTTTACCTGTATAAAAATGATTTTTATGCCCTGCTGTAGGCAACAGGGGCATTAAGTGTTACCCTTGACTGTCTGTCCATCTGTCCTTCCCTCCAACCCATTTTCGTTTCCGCACTCTTACTTAAGTTTGTCTCACCCAAATTTTATGAAACTCATACACAATGCTAAAAAACAAAACACGCAGACAGAGTTCGAATTTGGGTAGTGAGTCATTTACCGTTCTAGAGTAATGCCCTTTTTTAAGTTGGAAAATTGCAAAGCTTGAGTGGGGGCATTCGTGTCCTCAGACACATTCTTCTTTTATTTGTGAAACAAATCACTCAACTGAATGGTTCATCCTTGTTTCACATTCTATGTTGACATCCTTTTCCCTTAACTAGCTGAACATGCCTAGTACACGAGTAACCCACCTCAGGATAAGGGGTTTTATTGAAGGTCACATGACTATGGATTCAAGTAAGGTTGAATTATTGACTTACAAGTCAATAATACATCAGTAATATTTTGGAGCTTATTTTGGCAAATTTGGGCCAAAATGAAAGCTTATAACGAATTATATGCGCCTATGCAAATGATGTTGGTAGCTTTCAGGTTGGACATCCTTTCAGAATTGTAGATAGGATGAAGATAAGCAAGCATTTTACTAACAATACTAATAAAGATGAAAAAATATGATAAAAGGTCATTTATTGTTTTATTGATTTAGAGAGGAGTAGGGGCTATAATGGCCCTGGTTTACTAAATAATAAAAATTTAAACTGAGCAGATTTTTCTCCGTAAATTATTAGAATATGAGTCAATGATTTAAAAAAACTGTTTTTATCTAACAAAAAAAGGTTAAATGATGTGACAGTGGTAGGTGCTAATGAATATACATGTACAAATAGCTAATAATTATGTAATGCATCTAAAATGTTTACAAAATACACAGATTTTAAAATGTTCTTTCCAATAGGTCAAAATTCCGGGATATTAAGCTTGTCACTTCCGAATGCAAACCAAAGAAGTCTGGAAAAAATGAAGACACAAAGACAGTAAAAACTGCAGAAATGAAGAAAGTCGTAAAAAAAGAAGTGAACATCAAAGAAGAAAGTAGACATAAATATGAACAGTATTTTAACTCTAATTTACTTGTCTGTTATATAAAACCACACCAGGTAACTATTCTATTGTTTAACACATGAAACTTCATCTTGTCTGCTACATATAATCTCACCAGGCAACTTTAGTTTACTTGTCTGTTACTATCTGATACATAAAACTGCATATGGTAACTCTAAATTACCTTTTGTCTGTTAAATGAAAAACTGAACTAGATACTCTAATGTACCTTTCTTTAAAAACCTCATCAAGAAATTATCATTATTTGGTTGTTTTAACATCACATTCAGTGGCAAATATTTCAATAATCTATGAAAATATGATTCATGTTTGCATGTAATTTAAAACCTCAGCAGGTTGTTTATTTATCTGTTATAACAGCAGGATTCTTTCATTTACTTTTATGTAACATAACACTGCATCAGACATTTATTTGTATAAAAAAGAGATGTTGTATGATTGCCAATGAATCAATTATCCACTAGAATTAAAATCAAGTGGTAGTGAGCAATTATGTGCCACTGTATGGCCTTCAACAATAAGAAAAACCCAATCTGTATAATAGATATAAAAAGCCTCGACATGAAAAATGTGAAACTATTAAAACTAGAAAACTAACGACCTAATTTATTACAGTAATTTACAAAAAGACAAACATGAGAGATATGAACCAATGACAACCAGTGTAATACAGGCAACTTGGAAAAGGCACATTAATAATGTTGCGGGGTTTAAATATTGAAAAGTTATAACTGACCCACCAATCACATTCAAGTATTTGTATACAAATGATATTAGAATAATATTATTTTGTCAGTGATATTTGTTTACATTTCAGGTGCTAGCAATAAATCGAGGTGAACACAACAAATTTTTAACAGTTAAAATAGAAGTACCAGATAAAGTAAAAGCAATGTATGATAGGCTATGTAGTCAACATTTTGTTGGCAGAGCTCACCAAGGAACATATGCTATGAATGTTATCACCCAGGCAATCAGTGACGCATATGATAGATTGGCACATCCTCAAATGATTAGATTGATAAGGTTACTACATATACAAATTACAGCCTTTTGATTTTCCTGGAAAACAGTTGTTCTGTGACCTAGTTTATATGTCATACAGCACACAGCAAAATGCTTATAAATCCTAATCATAAGTATATATGGTAATGTTAAAGGGTTGTAAGGTATAAAGGTATAAGGGTCTTGTTTGATGTCAAGTAAAAATTTAAACTCTCTAGCGTACTGTGTTACTTACAAAGTACAAAAAAAAATATTTTTTTTTAGTTATTTTAAAGATAAGAAGATGTGGTATGATTTTCAATGAGACAACTCTTCACCAGAGACCAAATGATGTAGAAGTTAACAACTACATGTCACTGTACGGCCTTCAACAATGATCAAAACCCATACTGCGTAGTTAGGTATAAAAGGCCCCTAACTGACAAATGTAAAACAATTCAAACAAGAAAATTAACATCCTGATTTATGAACAAAACAATATTTGTCCATTATACCAATAAGATATATGCAATGTCCCATCGAAATCTGTTCTTATTTTCTTTGTCGTAACAAAGCTTATTTTAAAACCATACAAGTTTGAAATGATTGTAGATTTATCTTATTTTCTCCTTAGGTCTGAATTGACAAAAAAGGCTGAAAAAGCATCAATTGAGGTATTTGCTACCAATCTAAAGAATTTGCTTTTAGCTTCACCTGTCAAGGGAAAATGCATTCTGGGTTTAGATCCAGGATTCAAAAATGGCTGTAAAGGAGCAGTAATAACAGCAACAGGTACACTTAATTTATTTCTTCAAATATGAATTTTATTTGTATCCAATAGTATAAATATTTAGCTTTAATTTCTTGAATGAAATATGAATTTAATGTTACATAGGGATATGCTATATATGGCCAGTATTTGTTGCCATTGCCAACTAGAACTTGACATCTAGATCTCTTTTTTACTTGGTGTGTCATTGGGTTGGTGTCTTGTTGATGCATACCCCACATTTTCTTTTATTCATCAATAATGATAGATACAAGAAATATGTTGACATTTTTATACCAGATGATTATTTAGTAGTTTAATAGGCTGATGCATGAGGGTTTTACCTTTCAGTATACAAAAAAGTCAATCATCAGAAATGAATGGTAAGATTATATTAATTACACTGCACCTTATTTATACTAACCACAACTTTTCTTTTTCAATGAGCTGACAGTGTTCACCATTTGCTCTGTTTGAATGAATGAATTGATACTTGTTCAGTCCAATGGTATTCTGAAAGGTAAAAGTTTCTTGTGTAAGATATATAGCAAACATTATATATGTTGTGACTATTCTTTAAATCAATGTAACTGGATACCATGATATGTTAAACCATACCAATAAAAAAATTACTGTATTTTGGCATAAATAATCCATGTTTTTCACTCCAAAATTCAAATTGCCTGACAGGCAGATTGTAGTGTTATGCCAGCAAGAACTATGATAGAAACTTGATTGCTTAATGTTTGTTTTCATTCCGCCATGTTTATTTTTGCCAAGTAGAGGGTGCTTTTATTTCTTTTCAAATTCATATTCCTAATCCATATTAATATGCAATAATAATTTGATAGTTTCATAAAAATACTGATCAATTTCAAAAAGTAATGCATCAATACAAATTTCTTTTTTCTTTTCATAGCATTGTAAAAAGAAAATAGACAAAATTTGAATAAGTCTTTAATGTAACTAGTAAATGCATATCAGTGATCATTCAGTGGTTACATTTCTATCGACTGACAAATTATTTTATAAGATCCTGTGTATCACTATGTTTTTTTTCTTACATTGAGTTCTCTATGAGAGGAAATTAATTTTGGTGTGATGAATTTGAATTTTGAAAAATAGCTGAAACCTCTAAATTTCACACACAAAATTAACTACACTTGAAGTTGAACTTGTGTTTAGTTGAATAATTTATAGTCATTGCACAAGTGGTATGAAGATGACCTGAATCATAGAAGAAATTCTATAAAGTCTTGATATAGAAAAATCTTTTTATATTCCAGGCCAGATTGTTCACACTGAGATAGTTTATATTCATGATTATAAAAGTAACAAGTATGATGAGAAAATGAAAATATTACAGATAATCAAACAATATGGGTAGGCTTGATATAGAAATTAATTTTTTCTGTGTTGACATTTAACTTTTGATATTTTCCCCTATTATACCTTGTATCATACAACAGTCATCCTTGTCACAACTGTTCTATCCAAGATATGTAGCATGCAGGGTCTAGGCAATCTTTGGGTCTCTTCATTGGCATGATTGTGATGTATTTAACTTTGAAAGTGATTTTTATACTCAAATTGAATAGGACATCTTTTTTATACTCAGTGTTATTTGTATGTCTGTTCTACCAATCTTTACAACTATTTTTTTATACGCCCGTTTACGGGACGTATTATGGTATACCATTGTCAGTCGGTCCATCCGTCCAATGTCGACACTTAAGACATTAACTCAAAAACGCTTTCACCAATTTTCATGAAACTTTGGTGAATTGTTTATTTCTATTGTTGTAAGCTCCCTTTCAAAACTTTGGTGAATTGCTTATATCTATTGACTTTGCTCCCTTTTTATGATTAAAGTCCCAAAACTCCAAAATGTATAATCAGAAGTTTTTATAAATCGAAAGGGAACTTATGTCAATATATATAAACAATTCTCCTGGCATAGTTTCATGAAAATTGCTCAAAGCATTTTTAAGTTTTGGTCAGAAAACTGGAAAATGCCCCATTTTTTTATGAATAAAAATCCCAAAACTCAGAAATGTAAAATCTAAAATTTATAAAAATCGAAAGGAGCTTACCTCAATAGATATAAACAATTCACCACAATTTCGTGAAAATTGATGAAAGTGTTTTTGAGTTATTGTCCGAAGTGTTGACGATGAATGGACAATGGTATGCCATTATAGGTCCTGTAAACGGGCATATAAAAAGGGGAATTTTCCAGTTTTCTGACAATTACTAAAAAACACTTTGAGCAGTTTTCATGAAACTTTGGTGACTTTTTTATATCTGTTGAAAAAAGCTCCTTTTTGTTTTTTTTTTTTATAAATTTCTGATTTGACATTGATGAGTTATGAAACTTATTCATTGGAAAATTGTCCAAAACTATCCATTATTCACATTTTAGACGATTATAGAATTTTATTTGTTCAAAAATCGAAGCCACAAACTTGGTTTAACTTGAGGTAGCCTTAATGATGTCAAATTATTCATGTTTGGGTTTGGTGTCAAATGGTACCACTGTGGAAATCAGTTTTATAATCTTCCAGTAGAATGTTTATTTAATTTATAAACCTTGTAGATTTTGATTTATGTGGTTTTTATTTTTAGCACAGCTGAAAAATGTGTATTATAATTGTTACAGATGTGAGATATTTGCCATAGGAAATGGTGTTGCTTGTAGAGAAACAGAAACTTATGTATCAAACTTGATTAAGCAAGAAAATCTGAAGATGAATTACTGGTAACTGTTTAATGATACTAATCTGTTTACCTTTAATTTTGATGTGTGAAGTAACTAATAGAAATAAACAATTTATACATTTTAATGGAACAGAATTTCAGAACTATAAATTTAAATGGAAAGATAATTATCAAATTTAAATTTTTTTTTTTTCTCTAAAATGATAATGAGACTTGCAAGAGTGTTTGTTGTTTGTTTTAAAATAGCTATTTATTGTTGGCCGGTAAATAGATGTAGTTTGTTGATTTCTATTATGAACTGAATTACATTGGAATTCTCAATGAATATCGGTAGCATGCCATCTTTTTCTTAAATAGTTTCAAGTGTTAAAGTCTCTCACTAACATGTTTATGTCATGATTAATATACTACCATGTAATGTTTATGAAATATTTCAGTGTGGTAGATGAGAGTGGAGCGTCCATATACAGTGTGTCTGATCAAGCCAAGAAGGAATTGCCAAGTTTAGATCCTTCACTCAGAGGAGCAGGTAACAATTCACAATATTTATCAGAAATACCTATTTTTAACCGGATTTTCGAAGGAAAAATTGGTTATTAATTTGGGGATGTACGGTGGGCTGGAAGGCGGGCAGCTGCTAAACAGTGTCCGTTCATTAACATGAAAACACTTTGACGAAATTTTTCAAATTTAGATATGTTGTTGCCTGTGACTTAAGGAAGGTTAAGTTCAATTTTCATGATTGTAGCTTTTCTCGTTGTTGAGTTATAGCCCTTTGCCAAGAATTCAATTTTTAATGAAATATTCCTTTTCTGTACAAAGGGAAATAACTCATTTTTTAAAAGAATTTTCAAAAGACATTGTATTAATGATAAATGACATTTTGGATTTTTTTTCTTTTCTTTGGTAAATTGTTTGAAGAATTTTGTGGTAGGTTTGTTTGTTATTCTGCATATCTAATTTTCTGAATGCTATATATATAATTTTTTTTTGATGAAGTGAACTCCTTTAATTAGATAATAATCTATTTTTATTAAAGGATATATTTCATTACGTTACATTGTGAAGATAAAGTTGTTGACATTGATAGATAAGTTGCAGATCTGTATTAGTTTGTGACAAATGAAAGAAAAAATATTTGGAACTATTAATTATATTTGATTATAATTTGAAAATAGATATACATTGTGTAACATCATATCTAATTTTAAAGAGTTAAATCATATCTAATTTTAGAGAACTATGTTTGCTCTATTAATAGTTAAACCATATTTCTGTTCAAAGGGAAATAACTCAAACTTATTCCATGAACCAGTAATGATAAATTAAGTTTATATGGATTCTGTTCAATTAATTTTAGTCATTAGTTGTCAAAATTTCTTTATAATTATTTTCTTTAAGTCATGTGTGTTATGAAGGTAGATTAAGTAGGTAAGTAGGTAGGTAAGTTGTTATGTGGTATTTTATTTTTTGTTGTGTGTGTTAATGTTTAATTTTTACATGATCCTGTTTGGGGTTCATATTTGCAAATATCATTTTCATTAATAATTAGATAATAATCTATTTTAAATATTCAATCACAATCCAAATTCAGAGCTGTTTAAAGCTTAAGTCCATACTTGCTCAACTGTTTGGGGTTCGACCTCTGCAGGAAAATCCGGTTTGCTGTCACTCAACAGCCTCTTGTTTGTTTATGGAAATCATATGAGTAAATGTACAGATAACAACATCAAATGGCAAACAAGGACAATTACAAAAGCAATTAAACCATACTTTGATAGAATTTCTTATATATCTTCAATATCTCAATATCTTCTGTTATATCCAAGAGTAAGCTTATGATGGCTGAAAATGAGTAATAGTTCTTGTAACATCCAATAACTTCTACAGATGAATTTTTTAGGTTGAGGTAAATCCACAATTATAAAAAGTTAACTAGTCAAATCTTCCCACCTGTTTTTGTCTCGCCTTGACGGAGTCAAAAAGCAAGACATAGGTATGCTGTTTCCGGTGTTGGCGGCGTTGGCGGCGGCGGCGTCAACAATGTATTAGTTTGTGATTAGGTCTAGTTCATGGTGAACCACTAGTGGTAGGTCAATGATATTTGGTATGCAGTTGAATTAGCATTGGCACATCTCTTTGCCTTGGAGATTATTTGGCCCCGCCCCCTCAGTCAAGGTCTATTGACTTTGAAACTTTTCATAGTTTACATGTATTAGTTTGTGATTAGGTCAGTTCAAGGGGAACCATTAGTGGTAGGCCAATTTTAATTGGGTGTTCAGTTGTATATTAAAGCATTAGCACATCTCATTTCCATGGAGAATATTTGGCCCCACCCCCTCAGTCATGGTCTATTTACTTTGAAATTTTTTCTTAGTTTACATGTATTGGTTTGTAATTAAATCAGTTTAAGATGAACTGCTAATGTTAAGTCAATGATATTTGGTATGCAAATTTATTGGCATTTGCAAGTATCGTTTCCATGGAGATTATATAGCCCCACCCCTGAACATGGTTCTTCTTCTCTTCTTCCGTATACAGTTCATACCACCATCTGGTGTAATTTCGAACTGATGCGTGGTGCAGACAAATCAATATTTACAGTGAAGTTAAAAATAGTATGTACAATTAAAATCGCGCACAGTTCTTAATACAACTTTGTTTTCTGCAACTCACACTTGAATGTGTCAATTGAGCTGCAGGCTACAGTAGTTGGTGGCAGGCTGTTCCATAATCTGATGGTGTCTGGGAAGAACGAGTGCTTGTATAGCTGCGTTCTTGCAAATGAAACAAGAAATCTTTGGTTGTGTCCTCTTTATGTTGCTGCTGTTGGAATTAGGCAAGATGTTGGTATTGCAACCAGGTGGTTAACTATGCGGTACATCATTATGACTTTATTCGTAGCTCTGTGTTCTTGTAGGGTTGGCCATTGCAGCTGGTGTAATAGGTTTGTTACGCTGGTGGTTCGATGGTAGTCACCAGTAACGAATCTTGCTGCCCTACGTTGTACCATTTCCAGGTTATGAATGTCGTTTGCTGTGTGTGGATCCCAAATGATGCTGGCATACTCCATCTGCGGTCTCACAAGGGTCTTGTAGCAAAGTTCCTTGGTCTTTCGTGGGCATTGGTATATATTTCTCTGCAGAAAAGCCCTGGTGTTGTTGGCTTTCCTTACTACTTGGTCTATGTGAGTAGTCCAGTTCAGTTTGTGGTGGATGTTGGCTCCCAGATATTTTGCGCTTTCGACTTCCTCTAAGACGTGACCATGGATGTTATATGGCTGTCTAATAGGTTTTCTCTTGTTGGTGATGTGGATGACTTGACATTTGTTGGGGTGGAATTCCATGAGCCAATCATTCTCCCACTCTTGTAGGGTCTCCAGATCTTTTTGTTGTAGTGCTGCATCTGTGCTGTTTTTTATTTCCCTGTACAAGACGCAGTCATCTGCAAATAGTCTAACTGTTGATTTGTTGACTGTGTAATCTGGAAGGTCGTTTATGTATAGAAGAAATAGGGTGGGCCCCAAGACGCTGCCCTGAGGAACTCCTGATAGGACAGGTGCAGTGTTGGATCTTTTGTTTTCGAGTACGACATGCTGTGTTCTTTCGTTTAGAAAGTCTTTAATCCAGCTATGGAGACTACCTATTATTCCGTAATGATGTAATTTATGCATAAGTCATCTATGTGGTACCTTGTCGAATGCGTTAGAGAAGTCCAAGAGAATGACATCTGTTTGTCCGGTGTTGTCGACTGTTTTGGCAAGATCCTGGATAGTGATTATTAGTTGAGATTCACAGGACCTGTGTTTATGGAAGCCATGCTGTGCGTCTGTTAGAATGGTGTGTTTTTCTAGGTGTTTCATAATTGATTTTATGCTCCAGCATCTTACAGGTGATGGATGTGAGTGAGACAGGTCTGTAATTTTCAGGGCGGTTCTTAGCACCTTTCTTTATTATAGGGACTACATCTGCCTTCTTCCATTCCTTTGGGATCGCTCCTTGATTGATGGATGCCTGGAAAAGGACTGTGAAGAATGGCGCTATTTCAGAGCCTATGAACTTCAACAGTCTAGCTGACAATCCATCTGGTCCAGTGGCTTTGTGGATTTTAAGGCTTTGAAGTAGTTTTAGTACACCTGGTTCTGTGATGTTTATGTTAAGCATATTCGGGAACGTCAATTTTCCCATTGATTTGATGTTGTCGTCTGGTTCATTGGAGTTAAATACAGATGAAAATTGGTTGTTCAAGATGTTTGCCTTTGCTGTTGGTTCTGAGTATGTGAGGCCATCTGTTGCTTTAAGGGGCGCCACTCCACTGCTGTCCTTGTTTTTACTGTTGATAAAACTACAGAAGCGTTTTGGATTTGCAGTGCAATCTGGTGAGATTATATTGGTGATATAATCATTGTAGGCCTTTTTGCATGCTGTTTTTGTTGCAGATTTAAGTTGTTGGTATTTTTTCTTGTCCCTTGATCTGTTTGAGGATCTGTCCCTGTTAAAGCTTCTTTTCTTTCGCTGTGATAGTGCTTTTATCTCTTTTGTGATCCAGGGTTGGCTAAAGCAGCTGGTGGTCATCTTTGATGGTACTGAAGAATCTAGGATGTTATTTAGTGCGGTACTGATGTCTAGCCACATTTCTTCTATAGACGACTGAATGGTGTATTTGTCTAGGAATTGTTGTTGGAATTCTAGACATTCTTTTTTTCATTTTTCCATTGTCTGCTCTTTTCCATAGATGTATTTTCTGTTTTACCAGTTTCCCTCGTTTTGCAGCTGCTGATGATTCAATGAAGACTGCGTCATGATCTGATATACCAGGTAAGGGAGAGCATCTGTTGATCAGGCTTGGCCGGTTTGTAAGAAATAAGTCCAGTGTGTTGTCCAGACGGGTGGGAAAAGTGACTGTTTGCTCCATATGACAGTTGTGGATCATGTCTAGAAGTCTTTTGTTGATACCAGAGTTTACTTTATTTCCTTGAATAGATGTTGAGTTCCAGTTAATATCAGGAAGGTTTAAATCACCCCCTATCCATAAAACTGAATTTTTATTGCTTTGGTATACATGTTCAATAGTTTCGCAAAGTTGATCCATAAAATTGGTGTCTTCCAAATAATAGAAAAGAAAGGATATGGGGTATTCATCCATGACACAAAATCAGTACATGTATATGCACAGCAAAAAACACAAAAATCAAAGGAACAGAGCTTTTCTTGCTGTATAGTTTAACAGTCAATAGTCATTTAATTTAATTACATTTCAGTATCAATAGCAAGAAGATTATTGGATCCTCTAGCAGAACTTGTAAAAATAGAGCCCAAACATATAGGTGTAGGACAGTACCAGGTATGATAATTGTCAGTTTTTGAAGGTTTTTCTGGTCTTTTTAGAATCCATAGAATTTTTTCATACTTTACTAAAATGAAGTTTTTATAATGTTATTTTAAAAAATGATGAAAAATATATAAGTCACTGTTTTCAGGTTAAAAGATGATACAAATTCTGTTATGTTTAAAGGTAATAAAGAACATGTTATGTCATAAGGAAGAAAACAATAGATTTTTGAAATAAGAATTGAAGCGATAGTATTTTATTGAATATTTTCAAAAAAATAAGATAGGCAATATGTTTTCTTTCAACTAACCATTTGATCAGTCATGTAAAGAAAATAAAGATGACAATTTAATCAACAGGCTATGTGTAATTTGATTGTACATTTATTTATAAACAGCATGACATGCCAGAGAACCAACTGAAGCTGTCATTAGATTCAGTGGTTGAAGAATGTGTAAGTTTTGTAGGAGTAGATGTTAACACTGGGAGTGAGAGTTTACTAAGGTAATATTTATTGTCACATCCCTAGTAAAAGTAAATTTTATATATAGACTTAGAAATTGTGAACTTTTCAGCCATGAGCTGTCACTACTCTTACATCTTAAAATAAGGCATACTTGCCAACCTCTGACAATGAGAAATCATGTCATGACATGACATGACATGTCAAAAAGCGTGTGAAAACGCGCGACGAAGATGCAGACTTTTTTATATGAACAATGTTCATAATTTCACATTATCATGATTATACAAATTTGTTAATATATAATAAAAACAATATTCTAGAGTAAACTTTTATTGTATTCAACAGTGTTCTGTTTTGCTGCTTTTAAAGTAACACCCTAGGCTTAGGCACATATTCAAAACAACTGCCAGTTTGATTACATTTACTTGATAACAAGGCACACAATAAATCATTGTCGAGTTCTGATCAGAATTCAGTGTAGATTTTTTTATAATTGAAATGTTCTCTCACAGTCAGAATTGATATTTGGCTGAACTTAAATAGCTTGATAAGCTTTGAAAGAGTGTCATAACGTTTTTTGCCATCTAAAATGTCATCTATTATCTTTGCCATTGCTCCCAACGAACTATATATGTTGCTATTGTCTCTGAGGCTATTGTCTGGTCAAAACTGGGTAGTTCATCAGAAGACAGCTGGTACTATGAGAACTGATCCAACAGTTCCGTGATATTTCCATCCCCTTTGGCCTGTGGGAATCTGTTTGGCTAGATTTGAAACTGAAAAAGAAAAGTATTTTATTGTTTGATTATCATAATTTAAGCACGTTAAATGCTTAATCAAATCGCTACATTGTAGTTCTCCTCTCACATGTATTGTTATGATTGCAACATAGGGTGCACAATGCGTTACTCGTCTCTCGATAATTTAAACTTGAACTCCCAAATATAATTTGTAAATCTTGAAATTTATCTTGGTACGTACACATCGTTTTCGCTTAGCAATCGGCTCTTTAGACGACGGTACAGGTCCTGAAAGCGAACTATTTCTGGCGACATTTCCCCTAAGTGAATTTGAAAGAAAGAAAGTCACAAAATCGTTAAAACTAATCACAAACTACTTACCTTAAGGGCTTTTGCTGTTCGTCCATATAGAATATAAACAATGGCGACGATACAATTATTTCGAAAATTTCGGTATTTTTTGTCTTATAATGAAAAAACCTGAGAATCGCTATATCACCAACGACCAAAAAATCAAAACAACGAAAAAGCGTGTAATTGCGTGTAAAGTGGCGAAACGCGTTTACACACCATGTGACAAAATCCTCGTGTGTAAACCGTTGAAAAAGCGTGTATTACACGCGAATATCATGTCAGTTGGCAACTATGAAATAAGGAGACATAAGGAGACATGGTATGATTGATATTCAGAAAACTATTCATTTAAGTTCAAAGGACAAAGATGTGATGCATGTATGTCATTATATATATATTTACAAAACCAATGTATAGTTAGATTCAAATATACAGATATAATAATAAGTAGCATGTTTAAGTCATTTTAAGGGCATATGATGCAGTAGCAAGGGCAGATAAGAATGCCTCCAAATTTAACGTGTGTTTATAACGCAGGAAAATCATAATCGTCATCTAATCCATACCTGCCAACTTTTGAAAATCCCCATGGGGCTTTTAGTGCGTGACAATTTCAAAGGTTACAATTTTTTTTGCAGCATTTTTTGCGCACGCTGTTTTGTGCTGTAGAAAAACTGTCATATCTGATATACTGATGATGAGCTTATAAGCCTTTTTTATGCCCCGGCCGTAGCGGAGGGGGCATTAAGTTTTACCCTTGTCCGTCTGTACGTCCGTCCATACGTCCCAAAATTGGTTTCCGTTCTCTAACTTTAGTTTGCCTCAACCAAATATAATGAAACTTATACACAATGCTTATTACCACAAAATACAGATCCAATTTGAATTTTGGTGGCGTCACTTTTACCTTTCTAGAGTTATGCCCCTTTACAAATGGAAAAATTGCTGAATTTTTCATTTCCGTTCTCTTACTTTAGTTTGCCTCAACCAAATGTTATGAAACTTATACACCATGCTCATTACCACAAAACACAGATCCAGTTTGATTTTTGTTGGCGTCACTTTTACTGTTCTAGAGTTATGCCCCTTTACAAATGGAAAAATTGCTGAATTTTTCATTTCCGTTCTCTTACTTCAATTTGCCTCAACCAAATGTTATGAAACTTATACACAATGCTTAATACCTCAGAACACAGATCAAATTTGAATTTTGGTGGTGTCACATTTACTGTTCTAGAGTTATGCCTCTTTACAAGTGGAAAAATTGCTGAAATATTCGTTTCTGTTCTCTAACTTTAGTTTGCCTCAGCCAAATGTTATGAAACTTATGCGCAATGCTAATTACCAAAAAACACAGATCCACTTTGAATTTTGGTGGCGTCACTTTTACTGTTCTAGAGTTATGCCCCTTTACAAATTGAAAAAATGCTGAATTAATGTTATGAACCGTATACACAATGCTTATTACCACAAAACTCAGATCAATTACAACTTTGGGTAGTGTCACTTTTACAGTTCTTAAGTTTTGTCCCTTTATAACATTATATGCAAGCAGGGGCATCATCTGTGTCCCATGGACACATTCCCCATTTATCTTCTTTTTATTTTCATGATTCTAGTACTTATATTATTGTGTAGAAAAAATGAACATGTAGCTAGAATACCAGGATATATTTTCTTGTGTAGGAATGAATATCAAAGTGATTTTTGACTTTTCCAATTTAAAAATATGCACAAAGAAGGAAATTTATCTGATTCCTTGTGAAAAATAAAAGACAGTAAATTGTACTTTAGTTTAAATGATTTGGTATTTTAATTACTAGAATGACAACACTGTATGATCTGTAACAATAAGTGTAATGTCCGTAAGCTACTATTTATTATGTTTATGGTAGTACTGCATCTTTGAATTTTGTCAATCAGCCATGCTTTTCTTCTTAAGCTGTGCGAGAACCTTCTTGCAGATGAAAATTCATCTGCCATGATCACAATGTTTACAATTCTGACAGAGGTGTTCCAAAAAAGTTTTTGATTGGCTTATTAATTTGGTCATGAGAAACACAGACTTTGATTGGCTGATCAGACTGTCTACCTGGGGAAAAGTTCAAAATCGGGAACAATAATTTTTTTCGTGTATAATTTCAAAAAAAATCATGTTTTAGAGCTTTTTTCACGAGCATGATCGTGCAATCGTGACAAGGGGTCAAAATCGTGTAGTTCACGCCTAAATCGTGAAAGTTGGCAGGTATGCTAATCAGTTACATGAATTTGAAAGTAATTGCAAAGGAAAAGGAACATTTTATATACTTGAGCATGCCAAATCTACTGTGGGGGAAATAGAATTGATGGCAGATGAAGATTTCTTATTTTTCTATCGTCAATCAATTGGTTAATGACAGTAATTTGTATATCGTTGTGATGAACAATATGAATAGCTGCACAATGGTACACAGTGATGTTATTTAGCGCCAAAAACAAGATATGGTATCTAGCAATAAAGAATCTAGGTTTATTTATTTCCAGCTAAGAAATGAGCACAAATTTTGCAATCAACTTTGTACTGCTACAAGAATGTAATATCGAAATAGCAAAAAAAAAAGTCAATGGTTGAAACATCAATGATTTTTTTTTCTGAAAAAAATACAACTTTCAAACAGGCAGATGTTTTCTCCTGTTTTAATGCAAAGTGTTTCCTTTATTAAAAGGTCATTAGATAAAATTCTTAAATGAAGGCTGAATGCAATAATTTTTTTTGTGAAATTATACTTTTATTGGTAATAAGAAGCCATAGACAATTTCTTGCCAATATAGATGCATACAGAAAAAAATCTGGAATGATATACAGCAAAAAACGACAACCACTGAATTACAGGCTCCTCACTTGAGACAGTGGTGTCACAGCACAACATAACAAACTATAACTAGAGGCTCTAAAGAGCCTGTGTCGCTCACCTTGGTCTATGTGCATATTAAACAAAGGACACAGATGGATTCATGACAAAATTGTGTTTTGGTGATGGTGATGTGTTTGTAGATCTTACTTTACTGAATATTCTTGCTCCTTACTATTATCTCTATCTATAATGAACTTGGCCCGGTAGTTACAGTGGAAAATACTTTTAAAAATTTACAAAATTTATGAAAATTGTAAAAAATTGACTATAAAGGGAAATAACTCCTTAAGGGGTCAATTGACAATTTTGGTCATGTTGCCTTATTTGTAGATCTTACTTTGCTGAACATTATTGCTGTTTACAGTTTATCTCTATCTATAATAATATTCAAGATAATAACCAAAAACAGCAAAATTTCCTTAAAATTACCAATTCAGGGGCAGCAACCCAACAACGGGTTGCCTGATTGGTCTGAAAATTTCAGGTCAGATAGATCTTGACCTAATGAACAAATTTATACTCATCAGATTTGCTCTAAATGCTTTGGTTTCAGAGATACGAGTCAAAAACTGCATTTTACCCTATGTACTATTTTTTAGCCATGTCGGCCATCTTGGTTCGCGGGCGGGGTGATTGGACACATTTTTTTAAACTAGATACCCTAATGATGATTGTGGACAAGTTTGGTTTAATTTGTCTTAGTAGTTTCAGAGGAGAAGATTTTTGTAAAAGATTACAAAAATTTACGAAAAATGGTTAAAAATTGACTATAAAGGGCAATAACTCCTTAAGGGGTCAACTGACCATTTTGGTCAAGTTGACTTATTTGTAGATCTTACTTTGCTGAACATTATTGCTGTTTACAGTTTACCTCTATCTATAATAATATTCAAGATAATAACCAAAAACTGCAAAATTTCCTTAAAATTACCAATTCAGGGGCAGCAACCCAACAACGGGTTGTCCGATTCATCTGAAAATTTCAGGGCAGATAGATCTTGACCTGATAAACAATTTTACCCATGTCAGATTTGCTCTAAATGCTTTGGTTTCAGAGATATAAGCCAAAATCTACATTTTACCCCTATGTTCTATTTTTAGCCATGGCGGCCATCTTGGTTGGTTGGCCGGGTCACCGGACACATTTTTTAAACTAGATACCCTAATGATGATTGTGAACAAGTTTGGTTAAATTTGTCTTAGTAGTTTCAGAGGAGAAGATTTTTGTAAAAGATTACAAAAATTTACGAAAAATGGTTAAAAATTGACTATAAAGGGCAATAACTCCTTAAGGGGTCAACTGACCATTTTGGTCAAGTTGACTTATTTGTAGATCTTACTTTGCTGAACATTATTGCTGTTTACAGTTTACCTCTATCTATAATAATATTCAAGATAATAACCAAAAACTGCAAAATTTCCTTAAAATTACCAATTCAGGGGCAGCAACCCAACAACGGGTTGTCCGATTCATCTGAAAATTTCAGGGCAGATAGATCTTGACCTGATAAACAATTTTACCCCATGTCAGATTTGCTCTAAATGCTTTGGTTTCAGAGATATAAGCCAAAATCTACATTTTACCCCTATGTTCTATTTTTAGCCATGGCGGCCATCTTGGTTGGTTGGCCGGATCACTGGACACAATTTTTAAACTAGATACCCTAATGATGATTGTGGACAAGTTTGGTTAAATTTGTCTTAGTAGTTTCAGAGGAGAAGATTTTTGTAAAAGATTACAAAAATTTACTAAAAATGGTTAAAAATTGACTATAAAGGGCAATAACTCCTTAAGGGGTCAACTGACCATTTTGGTCAAGTTGACTTATTTGTAGATCTTACTTTGCTGAACATTATTGCTGTTTACAGTTTACCTCTATCTATAATAATATTCAAGATAATAACCAAAAACTGCAAAATTTCCTTAAAATTACCAATTCAGGGGCAGCAACCCAACAACGGGTTGTCCGATTCATCTGAAAATTTCAGGGCAGATAGATCTTGACCTGATAAACATTTTTACATCATGTCAGATTTGCTCTAAATGCTTTGGTTTCAGAGATATAAGCCAAAATCTACATTTTACCCCCATGTTCTATTTTTAGCCATGGCGGCCATCTTGGTTGGTTGGCCGGGTCACCGGACACATTTTTTAAACTAGATACCCCAATAATGATTGTGGCCAAGTTTGGTCAAATTTGGCCCAGTAGTTTCAGAGGAGAAAATTTTTGTAAAAGTTTACGGACGACGGACGACGGACGCAAAGTGATGAGAAAAGCTCACTTGACCTTTCAGGTCAGGTGAGCTAAAAATCAGTTGAAAAGCGCTTAACTCATCAGATCAATACGAAGCACAAAAACAACCAACAAAAGCACAAAAGACACAAAGTATAGATGTGAGAGTACTCACGGTTACTGAAAGCTAGTTCAAAGCCAATAACAACTAATAAAAAAATCATGTATCTAAGACTAAATTTGGATATTAATTTTTCAGGAGAATAGCAGGCTTAAATTCTACAAGAGCTAAGAAAATTATAGAATGGAGAGAAAGTAATGGTTTATTTGTCAATAGAGGACAAGTGAAATGTGTGAAAGGTATTGGTGACAAGTCTTATGAACAGTGTGCAGGATTCATCAGAGTCAATGCTTCACTTGAAGGGTATTTAAACATTATATAAAGATAAGGAGATGTAGTTATTGTCAATCAGACAACTATCCACCAAAGTTCAAATGAAGTGGATGTAAGCAATTATAGGCAGCCGCATGGCTTTCAACAATGAGAAAAACTCATACCATATAGTCAGCTATAAAAGGCCCTGACATGAAAAATATGAAACAGTTCTATTGAGAAAAATAACAGCCTAATTCATAACAAAACAATTTATGAAAAACAAATATGACAGACATGAACCAACAACAACTGCTGAACTACAGGCTCCTGACTTTGGGACAGGCACAAAAAGAATGTGGTGGGCTAAACATGTTTGTAAGCACTCAACCCTCCCCTAACCTGGGACATTATGTTTGTTGAAAGATATAATAACAAAATGCAATATCATGTTAACAATGAAAAAAACTCCCGTTTTACAGTTATATTACTGTGGATTCATCATTATTCGTTCAATATCAATGCTATCTGTCTAGGAGTCTGTATGTTCACATATTGTTTTTCAGACAAAATATATCAAGCCATAAGGAAAACCTTGACTTGCACATGCCCTATGGGAAGAGGGAGACCCATATTGATTTTGGGGTAAAAAAGTATAAGGCCAAGGTCACAGCAGCTGTTAATAGACTGAAATTTTGGCAAAATTGTGGTTTCTAGATGTTACCTTTTTATGTTATGCCCAACTTTTATCAAACTTGATTTGTAAATGCCTCATGAGACAGAATATATCCATATTTTTTCAATGCATTGTGGTTTAAATGTTGATATTGCAATATAAATATGTGTCTTGTTATTGCTAATGCTATGGGTGTAATTTTTTTTTAAAGATATTGAACCTCTCTCTAGAAAAAACACATTTTATAATTTAATATAGGGCAAGGTTTACATTTATTCTTTTTTCTGTATAAATTAGTCAGTATATTAGTTGTTCTTTTTATTTCATTGGTTCTTTACAGGAACACTAGAATGAATCTTGATTTTGTTTCTTTTAGACAGACAGAAACATGTAAAGAAGAACCTGAAGAAACGAAAATAGGAAGAAAAAGAAAGAAACCAACAACTGGTGGTGGGAAGGCTAAAAAGAAGAAAGACTCCATCAGTCTTGAACCTAACATCCTAGATACAACATGGATACATCCAGAATCATATGGTGCAGCTGAAAGGTATGTACTCCTTCATCAAACAATGTGAATAAAAGGAGATGTTAGGTATATGTCAAGAGACAGCAACCAGATGACTAAAATATCCATAATACATCAAGACTTCAGAAGCATAATGTCCTAATCTCTTATCTCTTATCTCAGCTGATTAAACTGTTATCAATATTTAGATATTTGTTAATATTGTTAGGGAGCTACCATTTGATTTTTATGGGGGCTAGGATGAAATTTGAAAAAAATAGGCAGGACAGGAGTTTTGAGATAAAAAAAAAAGGCAGGATGAGACACTTGCCAAAAAAAAAGTCAGGATGACAATTTAGGTAAAAAAAAGTCAGGATAAACTTTAAAAAAAAGGCAGGACCGAACAGAGTGAAAAATAAAAAGGCAGGACAGAGATTACAACTAAAAAAAAATGCAGGACAAAATTTTTCATCCTAGCCCCCCATAAAAATCAAATGGTAGCTCCCTTAGTTTCCATTGGCCACAATAGCTTTTTTTTAGCTCGCCTGCCCCAAAGGGCCAAGTGAGCTTTTCTCATCACTTTGCGTCCGTCGTCTGTTTACTTCAAAAATCTTCTCCTCTGAAACTAGTAGGCCAAGCTTCGCTGCAATCGTCATTGGGTATCTAGTTTAAAAATGTGTCTGTCTGATGACCCCACCTGCCATCCAAGATGACTGACATGGTTAAAAATCAAACATAGGGGTAAAATGTAAGTTTTGCATATTATTTTGAAAACTGCTATAAAAAGAGAAAATCTGACAGAGGCAGAAATATACAGAATGTTGAGCTCTGCCTTTTGTCCATTTACATCAAAACTCTCAGACCACTTCTAACTGGAGTTATTGCCCTTAAATCACAAATTTTACCGTTTTAAAACAATTTTGCCTATTATCTCGAAAATTATAATAGAGAGACAGAAACTTTAAATAGCAAAATTGGTCAGCAAGACAAGATCCACAAATAAGTTGTATGACAGAAATTGTCAGACAATTCCATGCTAGAGTTATGGCCCTTTAATGAAGATTTTTACCATTTTTTTGTGTTATTGCCTAATATCTTAAAAATGTAATATATTGATAGAATCTTTAAACAGCAAAATACATCAGTAATAAAAGATCTACAAATAAGTCAAACATTACCGAAATCGTTAGTCGACTCCTTATTAAATGTTTCTCTTTAATTATGATTTTTGTTTATTATCTTGAAAACTGTATTAGATAGAAATTTTAAATATAATCAGGGTTTTTTTCTGGGTATTTTGGGAAAAAGGACACTGGCCAGTTTTGGGAATTTTTACACTATTTTCAGTCAAATTGGGAAAAAAACAAATATACCAAATGTGAGTTTTAATGTGTTTAGTTCTATCTTTTTTTGTGAAAATAAAGTAAGAAACTACATGATTGCTATTTATAATTTTATTTTCTGTTCTTTTTGTTTCTAAACTTGACAACAAGGCAATCAAGTTTATTTTAATATCAAAATATCGTAGTTCTTAAAGCGCACATGTGATAAAAATTTACCCCCTTTTTTATCTTCAAAGACAGTAACAGTTAATATAATAAATAATTCAGGGATAGAAATAAGATTTATTTTAACTGGCCAACCAGGCTAACACTTTTCTAAATTCACTTGGTCTTCCAGATTTTTACTGGCCCTTCAAAATTGAGAAGAATTTACCTCTTGGATCTGTAGTCATATGTTTACATTATAAAAACATCCAATATCAACATTTTTTAGTGAAGGAAATTAATGTCACATTTTATTGAATTTTGACATAAAAATTTTTGAACTAAAAATAATTTTGAGTTTGTGTATAAAATATTTTTTGTTTCTTCTTTCTTTTTCATGTATATCTTTTGGTTTTCAATTCTAGTGTTCATATTTTATAGAGGTATTTTGTCACCAGTCTGGAATTTTTTTTAATTTATTTATTGTATTTGATCGGCAAACCCAGAATTAGCCTTATCCGCTCCTGGAATCTGATCCGGTATTGTAATAGTTTACATTTCCGGTTTATAGCGGCCTTTTGTCGAAGTTGTTTTTGTCAGTCAAATATGTTTTTACTCCGTTTCCATATTACTTGTTGGCGATTTTCAGCATAAAGCTAGGGTGAACAAAATGAACATCGCTGTTATGAATAATATAGATGAAAATGAGTTTTGAGATTGTTTTGGAATTTTTCCTCCCAAAATTAGGAAAAAAGTAGGGTTTTTGCAATTTGGAATGGGTCTGAATACAGGAGCCTGTGGAATGCTAGGAAAATCCATGATAAGAAATGATCAGCAAGACAAGATTTACAAATAATAGAGTAATTCCCCCTTAATGAACTTTACTAAAAATTGACCATTGTTGAAGATGCAGATGAGTGACACAGTCTCTTTAGAGCCGCTAGTTTTATTTTTTGCCTACCTTTATTAGCAAGGCATTTATACTTGCCCATATTTATGTCCATCTGTATGTATGCATTTGTTAAAATTTGTCATGTGGGTTCTTTTTCCAGAAAGGTATTGAAAAACATCAATGATTAATTGTCTCCTCAATCATGTGCCAGGTGTCTGTCCTTGTTATGCCTCTCTACCTACAGTTCTTGATAGGTGTGATGTTGATCATGTTCGAAAAATCAGTGTCAATTAAAAATGTGTAAATGATAATTATCTAAAAAAAAAAGTGCCTATAAATAAGATCTCAATGGATTTTGTTCAAATTTTTATGAAATGTATGTCAACAATATCTTAATTGAGTTTGAAACCTTGTAAATATAAAATAAATGAAAATTGTATTGTAACCTCATTCACCCTTACAGTTCCAAAAGCATTAGATCAGATTTTTATACAATGTTCAACAGTATTTTATTTGGCTAATACATTGAGTGCTGAATGACAATTTGTACTACATTTATAGCCATTACTGCAGAAAAAATGCATGTTGTTTCATATTTGATAAAGATTTTTAAACTTGATTTGTAGTTTAATGCAGATGCTAGGAGTTAACAAAGAAAACCTTGGCCAAGAGGTGTTTATCAGAGAGGTACAGAACTATATGAAGACCAAAAGTAAGACAATTTATTCAGTTTTAATATGTCACATTGGCATATGAAAATTCATTTGATTAGATGCACCATATATTTTAACATCAAAACAGATAAAGCTATATGCTACACAAAAATTAAGTTAAAATAGTTTAAAATACTTATGATACAACTTGTTAAAAAAAAATGAAAGTTATTAAGCAACATTCAAACATAAAAGTATGGTGTATAGTTTAAAGCCAACATTAATATTGTAAATTTTGACTACACAGATAACACAGTTGCTGTATACAATGCAATATATGTATAAATTATTGATTTGAAAATAAAGTAAACAACATTCATTGAAATTTTTATAAGACTCTTTGACCTATGACATTACACCTTGAGAGCTCTTTATTTTTAGCTTGCTTGATGAGTCATTAAGTTTACCCACATCTTCTTTTATAGCCACAGAGGAATTGTCAGCTACCCTTGCAGTAGGAGAGCCAACAGTTGATCTGATCGTCAAAGCATTCCTTAAGCCACATTCCTATGATTACAGAGAAGGTAACAATTAATCTTGGATTACTAATTTAGTTTTTACAATGAAAGGATTTAAAAGAATACATAAATTACTGATTTGAGTGTCATTGACGAAACTGGCATACAAAATTACAAGCCTGGTATCTCTTGATGAGTTTTTTTTAAAGCAAGTCCATTACATAGTGCTCACTATCTATTTTTAGTTTTGGTCTATCCTCCATCCAATGTGACCAACAAAGCTGTGAATGGTTTTAAAGATTAAATGAGGTTCTGCTGATTGTAGATCAAAGTGTATATATGCCTCTTGTGTGGTGTTACAGCAAATGTTTTTGCTTTGAGTTGTGTTATCAATATGGTCATTAATGGACAACTAAGTTCATATGGAAATTGACATAAAAACCAGGCTCTTTTCACAAACAATCTTACGACTAAAATTGAACTTAAGTTGTACTGAAATGTACATTACTTACAAGTATTTTTATGGAAAGATTTTTTGTGAAATGAGTCACAGAACTTGAGATAAATTGACTAATTAAAAGTTTATATAACAGGAAGTTTGATTGTCAGGTATACTGACTAAAAGTTATTTACTTTTTTCCTGATTTACCACTTCATTACCAAATTAAAAAAAAAAATTGCAAAGGGAGGCAAAATCCATATTTTCCTTTAAAATAGAAAATAGAAAAGATTATATGCAAAGGGTTATGCCATGTCTTATAAGGCTGAACAACAAGCAAAAAAAAAAAAAACTGAAAGAAATGGACATTGTGAAGTTCATGTTAAAAAATTATTCATTAGTCACGAAAAAAAAATGTGTACAAATAACATTTGTATTTTTACTGTTTTCAGATTTTGAGAAACCATTATTCAGAAAAGAAATTCAAGACATTAATTCGTTGAAAAATGGAACAATATTGACGGGAAAAATAACAAATGTTACACATTTTGGAGCATTTGTAGATATAGGTGTAGGACAAAATGGACTGATACATGTATCTAAAATGAAAAATACAAAATTGAATCTTGGAGATAAAGTATCTGTTAAAGTAATCTCACTGGAACTGAGCAAGAAAAGAATTGGTCTGGAAATACATTGCATATGAAAAAGCTTTTGTTGTGTAGTGTCAACTGTTAACAGATATCAGTTTCAGTGGATTGATGCAAAAAAGGAAGGATAACAAGTTGGAAGTATGTGAAAAAAAAACAAATGGCCATTTATATTAATTGTGAACCATTTGTAAAACAGCTATGTACCAAAATATGAAAATATAACGGAAGTGAAAATTATTAGTGTTCAGCATTATATTTGATGGATGAATCATTTTGATGGAACTTTTTAGATTGACATTTGATTGATTTCTTCTTGATTGTAATTTGATTGTTTTTTTTAATGGATTTACAATTAATTGATCAGTTTTAGTAGAGAGTCTTTTAACAACACTTTAGGGATTGCTGCAGTAATTTTATTGATTCATGTTTCAGTGCCTAGGGCACAGCCATACAAATATTAATAAGTAATAAGCTTTATTAATAGACAGTGAAACAATTTAAATAGATTGTCAACAAGGAAAAGAAAGTAAAATAAATTGTTCAAGTATAAAGTCTTTGTTCAAATATTTATACCTTAGTTATTATTTACTAAAAATGTTATATATTGAGTGTACAAAAATGTGCCTGTCCCATAAATTTTCTTGAAGTTCATCCAAACATATGGTTTCATCACTGCTGCTTGTAGTAAGGTCTATGTAGATTTCTCGAGTCCTTGAAACGGCCATATTTATTAGTGGTATAGTGCGGTGTGTTATCTGGACACAAATTGTCAGAGTCTGATAAGAATAAATTTTGACCAAGGGTGCTGGTTGGGTTTTCAAGTCCTGAAGTATCCAGTAGATGTTTTTTATTATACAGTGAGCCCTCTGCTACACTCCTGAATATTGGAGTTTTTCCATTCCATTCTTTCTGTACAAATCTTCTGTTGTTAATTTCTAACTTAATAACATACTCAAACTCACTAATGAAAAAACTTCTTGCATTAGCTGAGTAATATGGACCAATTTCCTTATGGGGTAATTTGTCAATTATGAATTGTAAATAAAACAATAATAAAGACAACACCACCCATCAATTACCGCATGGTAAGAGTTTAATCTGGTCTACATGTTTCGACCAGAATAAACTCTTACCATGCGGTAATTGATGGGTGTTGTTGTCTTTATTATCGTTTTATTTACTTATCTAGTGAAAGACAACTGTGAATACCTTTCAGTATCCACCCACTGGAGATTGGTAGTCGGGTTGTGAATTAATGCCATCATGAAGAGGAACAGTTCTTTATATATCATCTTACTTGGATGGAGAGTTGTCTCATTGGCACTCATACCACATCTTCCTATATCTATGTAAAAACCCCTGAAATTTAACAACATGAAATCAAATAAAATCTAAAATATGGTGTATAAAAATAAGGAGATGAGGTATGATTGCCAATAAGACAACTATCCACCAAAGTTCAAATAAAGTGGATGTAAGCAATTATAGGCAACTGTACAGCCTTCAACAATGAGAATTACCCATACCTTTAAGTAGTTCTTTATAGCCCTACTAGCCACAGGGGAAGTGTTTGTAAATTACTGTATTGTCTTTTTTCTGCAGACTTTTTTTACCATAGAAAGATAAGAAGTATCATGCTGGTAGTTTTTGATTAATTCTTTTGTGTAATATTTGTTAACCTTAGTTCTTTGTTCCCCCCAATATGTATGTTATTCCAACAGTGGAGACCCTTATTTATGAGGAAATGAAATATTATGTATCAGTATCATAGGCATGATAGCTATTACAGAAAAGAAAGAAACAATCTATAGAGGGCTATTCCAGAAATAATAATGAAGGTGGGGGAGTTGGAAGGCACCATATATTAATAATTGGGCAGTGGTGTTTGAAACAAGGTTTCATGTAATAATGCATTAAATTTCTAATTCTAATTATATATGTGGTGGTCTAGTAGAGAAAAGTGACTTCTACTCTCACCCCACCCCATACATTTAGTTTTGGAATAACCCCCACCAAATATGACAGCTTTTGGGCAAACAGTTTCAAAGGAGGAGTATACACAAGGTGTGGTTATGTTACAATACTTACGAGTCAAAGTGATGCCCCCACAGTCCATTCTGAATTAACTGCATTATAACAAAGTCAATGTAGGACTTTCTTTTGAGATATTATTGTGTCTGGGAGACACAAATGATGCCCCCGCAGATGCAAAGTGTTATTTTAAAATACACAAAGTTAAGCATGGGAGCACATAGGTCTATGGTTCACTGTAGGAGGAGTTATCTGGAAATGCTATGAACCTCTTGTGCAAGTTACTAAGTAAATACTCCAAAAATGACAAAGTTCAACTATCTCCCAAAATAGCAAATATTAATAAAAATCAAAACCCTGACCACATGCACACCTTCAATATATGTACAAACAGCCAGCAAAGTGAAAACTTCCTAGAATTCAAACTGTAGGAGGAGTTATCCGGAAAAGTTATGCACCTCTTATGCAAGTAAATACTCCACAAATGACAAAGTTCAACCATCTCCCAAAAGAGCAAATATCAATAAAAATCAAAACCCTGACCACATGTACACCTTCAATATATGTACAAACAGCCAGCAAAGTGAAAACTTCCTAGCATTCAAACTGTAGGATAGGTTATCTGGAATAACTAAACACCCATAATGGGATGGATGAACAGGGGTAAAACAATATGCCCCCCCCCCCCCCCCCCCCCCCCACCGAACTTTCAGTTGCGGGGGCATAAAAATTATGTCCAATAACTAAATAACTTTCAAGAATTGTCAAATCAAAAGATAAAGAAAATGACAAACAATCCTACCAAGTGTGAAAGCCTTTTGTCACATGGTCGGTGTAATTTTGTATATTGGATGGAAGAACAGACAGAAAAATTCTTTGACCCAAATTATGTTAAGATTGCCACTCTCTCAAAAAATTAACCAGATGATATTCACACAGCATATAAATATTGTAATGGTTATTGTGTACAACTTTACTTGAACAGTAAAATGCTTGATTGCAGAATAAAGAAATACATGTACATGTACAACTGCAACTGTCCTATTAAACCTAACTATACAATACCACAAACTAAAAGCAATAATCTTTTTTTAATAATACGTTAACAACTCCATCCTTTAAATCCTTCTTGATCTATCATGCAAGGTATTTTAAACATGGGTAAATGGGGGGCAAAGATGATTTCTAAGTCTCTAACACATGTTTCAAATCCACCAATAAGCAAATTGTTTATCAAATGTTTTGGAATAGTCACATGCTGGTTAGTTCTAGTCAAGGTGATTCTGGTAGTCACTTGATTGGACCATGTAAGACCTAGGGATGGAATATGCTTTCTGTGCCTGTCTTTCACATCCATTGAATCTGTTACCTGTGATTAAAGAAGCAAAAATGCTAATTAATACATTTAAAATATAATTGCTGTCATTTCATATTAGTATTACCACAATTATTATTCTAATTTTATTGCTTACCTAATATCTTGATAACTAAATATAAAAGATAGACTGAAACTTACAACAGAATCAAAGCGCGATAGCGCTGTAAAGGCAGTTAATTACAGGTTGTGTGTATTTTTAGTCCAGTTATATCATTATCTTGCATAGTACAGTGTACTTATCAGAGGTGGCTTCCAGTATTTAAGATTTAGAGTTCTCTAATGATATTGAACAAGTTTCATGAATGTCATATGCATATTTTGAGCATTATATGAAGGTGATTGTTCCAACTTGTTTATGAACTAGTGCATTATGTCCAGTTTGTAGCTTGTTTATCTATGTTTATAGTCAAATACTGTTTAATATAGTTGGGCATTTTCTTTTTAGGAATAAATACCAGTTATATCAACTGTATTTTTTCAACTTTGCAAATGTGGTTTGTCACTAGTAAGTATGGATGATAGTTGTTTAATTGGCAATCATACCACAACTCCTTATTTGTATTATGGTCTATATTCAACGACCTCAGGTACCAAAAAAAATGAATGTAACTAAACTATGATTGGAAACCTTTGACTTCTTTCTTTTATATAAACTTTGGATTTGGTAGCATAGAACTATGTAGAAGACTCCTGTTGAACTTATCGTGCATAGATGATGTTGTCTATCTACATGTATCATTTTATATATGTATGATGGTATTTACCTGCTTTCCTTCGATTCAACAGCTTTAAGAATATGGTGAACACTTGTTTATATGCCATGTATATGCAACACAGCTCGTGGTAAAGTATGCCAACAAGAATGCTGGTATTAAATCTCAGTACACTTTGATGTTTAAGGGCAATTTGTATGACTGTTACTTTGATATAATAAACTTGCACATAGTATATGTGTGTATCTGTGGAGTTACATATTGGATATACCAAGCATATATTTTGGCATGGTTGATGATAATAGATATTGTGGCATAATTATAAAATACACTTTATATGGATATGTTATATCAATTTCATTTGTAAACTATGGTAACATACAGTCAATCTCAAGATATCTATTTTAATCTTAAAAGCAATGCAAATTTAACAATGGGGTACACATTTTCTTCCTATACATCAGAAAATAAATTTGAACCTTGTATATATGATTTTCTGTACCTCACCATGATACGCACTTTTAAGACATAAAAGAACTTTTCCTTATTAATATAAATGGACTATTCTTTATTATTGATTATATTAGCATATTCAATGACTTCCATCCTATGAAAAGTAGTTCATAATGATTGCTTAGTCACTGTATTGTGTGTATTGCAAGAACATCAAGTAACATAATGTTAAATGTACATTGCAACATGTTAACTCTTTCGATGACAATACTTTTTGTCTCGCCTTGACGGAGTCAAAAAGCAAGATATAGGTATGCTGTTTCCGGCGTCTGCGGCGGCGTCAACAATGTATTAGTTTGTGATTAGGTCTAGTTCATGGTGAACCACTAGTGGTAGGTCAGTGATATTTGGTCTGCAGTTGTATTAGCATTTGCACATCACATTACCAAGGAGATTATATATTTTGGCCCCGCCCCCTCAGTCAAGGTCTACTGACTTTGAAACTTTGCTTAGTTTACATGTATAAGTTTGTGATTAGGTCAGTTTATGGGGAACCACTAGTGGTAGGTCAATGATATTTGGTATGCAGTTTTATTAGCATTGGCACATCTCATTACCATGGAGATTATTTGGCCCCGCCCCCTCAGTCAAGGTCTATTGACTTTGAAACTTTGCTTAGTTTTCATGTATTAGTTTGTGATTAGGTCAGTTTAAGGGGAACTGTTAGTGGTAGGTCAATGATAATTGGTATGCAGTTGTATAAGCATTAGCATTAGCACATCACATTTCCATGGAGAATATTTAGTCCTTACCCCTCAGTCATCGTCTATTGACTTTGAAACTTTTACTTAGTTTACATGTATTAGTTTGTGATTAGGTCAGTTTAAGATGAACCACTGATGTTAAGTCAATGATATTCGGTATGTATGCAAATGTATTGGCATTTGCAAGTTTCATTTCCATGGAGATCATATAACCCCACCCCCTAATTATGGTACATTGACTTTGAAACTTTTACATAGTTTACAAGTTAATGTTTGTGTTTAGGTTTGTTTAAAGAGAATGACTTATGAAAAGTCAATGGTATTTGGTTTGCAGTTGTATTAGCATTAGCACATCTCATTTCCATGGAGATTGTTTAGCCCTGTACCTTCAGTCATGGTTCATTGACTTTGAATATTTGCATAACTTACATGTTAAAGTATTGCTATTTTAATTTCAACATTTGCATTATCAAAATAACAAATAGGCGAGACATATCTCTGTGTTAACAGTTTATTCTTTAAACTATATGTAACTCAAAGCAAAATTATTTCCAAGTATAAAGTAATTTATGAATGAAAAAAGGAGTTCTTAATTAAGAAAAAAATGACATCTTGTTTGGTCACTGTCATAATAGTTGTCTCAATATATTTATAGCATTTTAACCACCTCTCCATATTTGTAAAATAATAGAAGAAAATAATTCTCTACACGGTATGAGTTTTTCTCATTGTTGGAGATTGTACGGTTACAGTAACACCTGTAACTGCTTAAACCCATTTCTTATGCACTTTGGTTTGATAAACTCACTGAATATCATACCACTGTGGGCACATCTCCATATTTTTTATGCAGAACAATTTACATGTACATGTAATTGTAAATATATATATATCAGAACAAAATTCATTGCGTCACTTGCATTTAATATACATCCTTTGGCACAATACAAGTTCTAAAATTACACAACATAATTAAAACAACTAAATGTTATTTCAGATGAAAGTATTGTTTCAGTTCCATTCATAGGATTTATTAGAATTTTGTATGTTTTGCCAAGTCTAATAGTTCGCTCTACATGCACACATTTATTGGAGACTTTTCTATCCCGTATAAGAGTTTTCGAACTAATTCTGTTTCTCATTTTGAAAAAAGTTGGAATATTGACGGCAACATCCATTTTAGCAAACAAATCATGCACATTAAAACCTTTATCTGCCATCACACTGTCACCTGGATCACATAATTGAACTATTCTACATCGTTCAACTATTTGACGATCACTGGTACAACCAACATATGCATTAGAGACATAGTTCACTAAACCACCAGGTGTCAAACATACAAGTATTTTCAGTATTTCTGTTTTTATATGATGAAAAGGTTGCCTGTTGAGCTCTAGGAGCGAGCTTTAGGTTTTTTCACGGGACATTCTGTGCTGTCAATAATAATCCTAGTTGTAGGAAACATTAATTTGAAGTCAGATGGCAAAAAATACCTAACTAAACCACTAGATGGCCAAGTGTTAGCCTCTCTCCACTGTTTAAGACATAAAAACAATCCATGTATATACACAATATTCTTAACACTAGATTCAGATATTGTTTTACAGTTTAGTTCTTTTGCTTTCACGGGAAACTGCCCTGATTTTTCTTTTTGCAGACGATTCAGTCTCTTGCTCATTTTGCTTGGTCCAGGAAAATAGGCTGGGAATGGCAGTAGACATAAGTCTCTGTATGGTGGGTTTGCCCCCTGAAAAAGGTTATAAAACATTAGTTTTTTGAAAATTAAATGAACTCCCATTAGCAATGTATACTTTGTACTACCTGGCAAAATATTAACTAGATTTATTCATTACACATGTTACAATGTGGATAAAACTATGTTTGCCAGATTCAATGTATGTTATGTAAATCCAAAGCCTATAAGGACAAACAATGAGAGACTTATGCAACACACGTACCTAAATAACTATAATACAGATGAGAGCATGATGTCATTATTTTATTCTTGTTAACATTGTCATTGATATTTTTCAAGAAAGCCTATGAGGCATAGCTTATGCATTCCTGTTAATACTACATTAGCATAATTACTGCTAAAATAATTCTCAGTATGATATACCTCTTGTAAGATATCATTATAATTGTAGCATTCACCAAAAAATCTCAAACAGCCCACATTGAATCGTAATCAAAAAAATTATGACGTCTTGAATTAATCACCCCCCTTTTATTCTAAAACGGTAATTCAATAATTGCGCAATTTGCGGTTGTAAACAGACTTTGGTTTATTCGCATGGCCATTAAATATATATATAACTGTATATATTTCAAAAAGAAAATAAAGTTTTACCATGAATAGTTTCCTGCACGTAGTCGTTTTCAGTAAAATTTGCCTTGCAAACAACAGCTGATTGAGATGGACTCCACGATTTCATCGTGTTCTCGTCCAATCTGCGTATGGGCCATGGCGTTGATCCAACTTTTCCTTCTTTTTAAGTCATTTGGAAATGCATGTCCTCCTCTTAAATGACATCCAGGTACACAACAACAAGTACTAGGCATCGTTAATTAAAAATGTCATTGTAAATTTGCCCAGAGCTGAAACCGGAAGTTGAGGAACAGGACCGGCTACCACGGCGCCACCTATTCAGGAACGATAATTTGCCACTTTTTATAGCTGATACCGAAATAACAATAACGTCATACGGCTTCACGTGCATAAACAGAAATGCGCTTTAAATTGTATAATATGCATTAAAATTCATGTTCAGTCGACCTTTAATTGTAATATCAACGACAGAAATGATTTTAAATTATCTAGATTGCAGATAACACTGGAATTAACCCGACCTCTTTCCACACGGAATTCAAATAATTCTAGTTTGTCAATCGGTTGACTGCTTATAATGCAAAATACAAATATATCAAAAGTTTTTAAAACTAACAAAACGCAATGACCATTTCTTTATTTCCCAATGTAAATGAAATGAAACAAAAACATTTTATATTACAAAATGAAGAGGAGAGAATTCAACATTTCCGGATCTACTTCTGACCAAATGACCCTGTACGTAGATATGTCGGATATCGCGGAAGGAAATATTAACCCGGCAACCAGAAAGGCATTAAAGCACTGCCTTTAAAAATGATCAGCAACACAAGATCTTCAAATAAGTATTTGTCACTGTCATAGATGTTAGCAACTGTGTGTCACAGTACAGCCTTCAACAATGAGCAAAACCCATACCGTAAAGTAGGCTCTAAAAGGCCCAGACATGACAAAATATAAAACTAATAAAAAAAAACAAAAAAATCTAAGGGCCTGATTTATGTACAAAACAACTATATTATAAAGCAAACAAAGACGGTCACTGAATTACAGGCTCTTTACTTGGGACAGGCACATACAGAAAGAGGTTGAGTTATTAAACATGTTCCACAAAATAAAAACCATCTAAATGGAAATCTGTTGGAGATGAGCATATGAACAATGTATACGTATATTTCAACAAAAAATTACTTTAATTTCAACTAGATATCATTGAGATGGGAGCCATCTCTGTGGGCCCCGCTGTGAATTACGTGTGGTAAAAAATTGGTATCTTTACCATCGGACATGGGGTTGTCAACTGAAACCATAGTTTTTGACCTTGACCTTTGACCTAGGAAGTTGTACATAAATTATGACACACCCTCTGGTGTTGGTTTATATACATGTCAAGTATAAACTTTAAAATCATACAGTTCTCAAGATATAGAGTGGACACGATCTATACCATAGGACATGGGGTTGTCAACTGAAACCAAATTTTTTGACCTTGACCTTTGACCTAGGAAGTTGTACATAAATTATGACACCCTCTGTTGTTGGTTAATATACATGTCAAGTATAAACTTTGAAATCATAACGGTTCTCTAGATATAGAGCGGTCACAATTTGTTACGGACGGACGGACAGACTGATCACTATAGGGCGTCTGACATTCGGCGGGGCCCTAACTAATTATTATTTTATTAATATTTAATTAAATCAAATTATTACGTTGTTTGCAATGAATTGCCGTGATTTCCCAGTGAACTAAAAACTGATAATTTCACTCCTCTAACGTTATACAACAATAGCTGTTGTCAAGACGTCGATGACGTTACATCAAAACAAATAGTGAATGCATAAAAAAAGATATAGTCCCTTGCATTTTCTTTTTTATTTCCATTAAAAAGCTCAATAATAAAAAGAATAACTAATCAAAGAATTCAAATATCGAAAAATATTCAACTTGAGACTGAACAACACTGATAATTAACTCATGCGCTATGTGCATTCGTGAATTAATGTGTTGTTTGGTCACTCGTTGAATATTTTTCTATATCTGAATTCTTCTATTAGTTATTCTATAAATCTTTACAATATGCACATCAGTATTTGCTTTAACATTCTACAAAATGAAAAAAAGTATGAAGGTTACATTTTAGATGTTAACTTGCCTGATTAACACATACAACAGGAATATTATACTGGTTACTGAGCTGATGTAAAGAAGCCCCCATGGATGCAAGGTCTTTTGATCTCTGAACCATATCTTTTTGGTCGTATTCACATCTGAACAGACTAGCAACTGAATCAACAACTACTAGTTTGATATCTCCTTTTGAAAGCAATATAGGTAATCTCTTTTGGATGCAGTATTTCAATCCATTCTAGGAACAAAAAAGCCAGCATAAAAAAATATTGACAAATATTTTACTTTCACATAAAATGTATGGATAACTTACTCTAATGACACTACTGAAAACACTTTTCATGTTTTACTGACTCTAATAGGATCTTTTCATTATATGTATACCAGGTAATGAGCATAAAAGGTTTAAGGGAGATTACATTGTAACCCATATCCAATAAATTTTCAAATCTGGAACACACACCAATATAGTTTTATTTAAAAGCAAGTAGAACTATTGCTCACTATAAATGATAATCTAACTTTCGGGTATTTGGAAAACAGGAGTTTGAAGTGCAATGGATATGTAAATGCACCACAAGGAATAGCACGTTCACATGAACCTTTCTTACAAATTTCAGGCATCACTTATTTGTAGTTCCCTAGAAAAATGTGACAAAAATTTATACACGGCCATTGTGTGTGGGAAAATAGATGGAAATTCAAATGTAAACAAGATGAAACTGGCAACATCTGTCATAGAAACCAAAAAATGCTTTCCTAAAATCTTTTAACAATTAGCTATTTTTTTTCGCCAAATTTGGTGACCGGCAAAGAAACCCTGCCCCCTTCCAAGGGTGACCAAAAAAGGGGGGGGGGGGGCATTTGTATAACTGGTTAAACTACACCATATTTTGTGCCTGTACCAAGTCGGGCTATCTTGACCAGGTGTTTTTTGTTTTTATGTATGTTTTTCAGAGGAGTTGGGTGTTGGTAGCTGATGTGGTGTATGAACTGTGAAGCATTTTTATTTTAAAAACCCTTTTTATGTATTACTAAATGGGACAGCCCTAACAGCATTATTTTCCTTTTTTCATTTTAAGAAGCTTTTTTCTGTAGTATATCAGAGTACAACATACATGATAGTTCAATTGCAACTATGAACAAATGAAAGTCGCCATGAGTTAGGTGATTATAAGCTGTACTCGCCAATAGGGCAATTTAATCATCACTTGAGAAATAAAGAAAAATAACCAAAATACACTGTTTTAACAATAATGTTTATTCATGTGGCTGTGCATTCTCTATCTCTCACAGATCTATCTGAAGAGATACTGATAGATTCTGGAAAAAATCTTCAACCAAATTTCTTCTTGAAAACAAAAAGCTAATATCAATGACAGTTTTGAAATTTCACCAGGAATTTAAATTTGGACAAGCTGTTTTCCATTTTTAATGATACATGTACATGATGTACTTACAACATCAGAAATATGTTCTATGAAAATGTTGTCTCCATACTGTATTTTGTTTGACAATGCATTTACTTTAAGACTGAAGTATTGGATCATCTGATGAAGACGTTTGTTCGGGAACACATCTTCTGTACAAATATAGGCTGCCCCTGAAACATATTATAAGTGTAAAATATAGGATATTAAATGAAAAAAAAGTTACAAACTTAAACTGATTCAAACCAATTAACATACCAAATATTGTCTGCTTGACTATAATTATGTATGTACTGAAAAGCAGATTAATCCTGGAAACTCAATCTGACAACAGCAGAGAGAAATTGAAGTGAAGGCCTTATATATATGTTTGACTGACATGAAAATTTTACTTGACAAACTGATCTATCCTGTATAGTAACTAAGGACCACACCTCATCCTGAAATCTTAACCAGACTACTAGAGCATGAAATTGAGGCCAAATGCCATGACATGTCATGATTAGAGGAACATATATTTATCACAACCCTTATCTTACCTCCATCCAATCCTCCATGAGTAAATGGCAGCTGCACATTCAAACAAAGCTGTAAACACAGCTGAGTTTTACCAGCAGAGCTCTCCCCTGAAATTTCTGTTATACCATGAGACAATAGTCCACCACGTAAAGCTTCATCGATGGATTTACATCCTGTTGTCAATTTCTTAAGTGTCAGCTGACTTGGGCATTTTTCTTTCCATATGTCTAAGGCTAATAAGTATAAAAATAGATCAGATCAAAGTATTGAATGAATATAAAAATTTCATATGAAGGAGAAATGTTTTTACCATTTTTTATTGATTATGACTGAAAGTCTATGAAAACAAAATCAAACTACTTGTATCAATCAAAGTTACAAGAAGTCATTGCAATCATACAACAGACTATAGATATCAGAATAGATATAACTTTATAAGTAATTTTAAAACTGAACTTTTCTCTAGATTTCAAGTGAAATAAATGAAGAATGTATCCATGGGACACAGATGATGCCCCTGCTTGCATATAATGTTTTAAAGGGCATAACTCGAGAACAGTAAAAGTGACGCCACCTAAATTCAAACTTGATCTGTGTTTGTGGTAATAAACATTGTGTATGAGTTTCATAACATTTGGTTGAGGCAAACTAAAGTAAGAAAACAGAAACGACAGATTTAGCAATTTTTCCATTTTCCATTTATAAAGGGGCATAACTCAAGAACGGTAAAATGGACGCCACCCAATTTCAAACTTGATCTGTGTTTTGTGGTAATAAGTCTTGTGTATAAGTTTCATAACATTTGGTTGAGGCAAACTAAAGTTGGAAAACGGAAACGAAAAATTCAGCAATTTTTATGTTTATAAAGGGCATAACTTATGAATGGTAAAAGTTATGCCACCCAATTTCGAAACTCGATCTGTGTTTTGTGGTAATAAGCATTGTGTATAATTTTTATAACATTTGGTTGAGGCAAACTAAAGTTAGAGAACGGAAACCAATTTTGGGGACGTACACGACAGACAGACGGGACGGACAAGGGTAACACTTTATGACCCCTTAGCCTACTGGCGGGGGCATAAAAATGTCAGAGGTCAATAATGAATTAAAAAAAGATGCAATATAATGCAAACTAAAAAACCAACCAAACAAAAAAAAAACAGAATTGAGAGTGAATTCACACAAGAATACCCCATGCCCAACATTTCCATTATCTCCCCTTTAACATGTTGAGGCATCATGAAATGTACCAATGACCTCTTTACATGGTAAAATCAAAGATAAACAACAGAATGCATTAATTGTTTACCTGTAACACATGGCAGTTTAGGAACTGCTCTAGCAACTGCCTTCTTTAGTAATGACACATCTCCTGAACTCAGTCCTGTTGACCTTTGAATATCTGGATTGGACAGACTCAAAACAATGTCAAACTTTTTTATATTTGCTGAAACAAAAAAAAAGATAAGGGTAAACATGGAGGTCATTTATAACCTACAACCCAAGCCGAAGGATTTTCAAGATGCATCTATTTACCAATGAGCAAAATACTGTATACATTTGCTATATAAACTGAGATATGTCTTGCCTGTATGAAATTGTGATAGTAAAATGCAAATGTTTAAATTAAAATGGCTGTACTTTCATGACTTTATAGCATGCTTATATATGCAAAGCATTCAAGAGAAGGGCCAAATAATTTCCATGAAAATTTGATGTAAAAATGCTAACTCAACTGCCTACCAAATATCATTGACTTACTATTTAGTATTAGGGGTTCATCTTTAACTGACCTATCACAATGACAACTTTTTACGCCCTGTTGTCATCGTTAACAGCAAGCCCCCGTCTTTTGTCTCCACTTTTTTGTAGAGGGGAGACATATAGTCCACAGTATGTAACAATTCAAGAAAAAAAAGTTTGATTTATACTATTTATATACAGCATTGAACAATTTTTTTTTTTATAGATGACAACCACAGCCACTGGTTCATGGCTTGGGAAGGCACATAAAGTATGTGGGAGGGGGAGGGGGGGGTTAACATGTTTGTGAGCACCCTTCCCTCCCCTAACTTTGGACTGGTGTAACACAAGAGTAAACTGTGACAAGAGTGCACACGCTGAAATGTCTCGCCTGCTTTACTGATCATTGATTTTATATTGAAAGTCCTAAATATAAAGCTTTACTACAACTTCTAGTATCACATAAACTTAACATGATCCAAGAAAATGAGGTCAAGGTCAGATAAACCAAACCGGAAATACATGTACACCTTACAATCCTTCCATACACCATATATAGTTGAGCTATTACTTATATAACAAACTTAACCAGGAAAACTTAACATTGACCAATGAACCATGAAAATGAGGTCAATGTAAGATGAACCATGCCAGACAGACATGTACACTTTACATTCAATCTATGCATAAAATATAGTTGGTCTATTGCTTATAGTATCTAAGAAACAAACTTAACAATGAAAATTTAACATTGACCAATAAACCATGAAAATGAGGTCAAGGTCAGTTGATACCTGCCAGACAGATATATACACCTTACAATCATTCCATACACCAAATATAGTTGACCTATTGCTTATAGTATCTAAAACACAAACTTTACCATGAAAATTTAACATTGACCAATGAACCATGAAAATGAGGTCAAGGTCTGACGATACCTGCCAGGCAGACATATATACTTTACAATCATTCCATACACCAAATATAGTTGACTTATTGCTTATAGTTTAAGAAAAACAGACCAAAACACAAAAACTTAACACTGAACAATGAACCGTGAAAATGAGGTCAAGGTCAAATAAAACCTGCCAAACTGACATGTACATCGTAAAATATTCCCATACACCAAATATAGTTGACCTATTGCATACAGTATTAATAAAAAAAGACCAAAACACAAAAACTTAACTTTAACCACTGAAACATGAAAATGAGGTCAAGGTCAGTTGACACCTGCCAGTTGGACATGTACACCTTACAATTATTCCATACACCAAATATAGTAGACCTATTGCTTATAGTTTAAGAAAAACAGACCAAAACACAAAAACTTAATACTGAACAATGAACCATGAAAATGAGGTCAAGGTCAAATAAATCCTGCCAGATTGACATGTACATCGTAAATTATTTCCATACACCAAATATAGTTGACCTATTGCATATAGCATGTATAGTATTAGGAAAAAAGACCAAAACACAAAAACTTAACTTTAACCACTGAACCATGAAAATGAGGTCAAGGTCAGATGACACCTGCCAGTTGGACATGTACACCTTACAATTAATTCCATGCACCAAATATAGTAGACCTATTGCTTATAGTATCTGATATATGGACTTGAACACAAAAACTTAATCTTGTTCACTGATCCATGAAATGAGGTCGAGGTCAGATGAAAACTGTCTGACAGGCATGAGGACCTTACATGGTAAGCACATACTAAATATAGTTATCCTATTACTCATTATAAGAGAAAAATTAACATTACAAAAAATCTTAACTTTCTTTCAAGTAGTCACTGAACCATGAAAATGAGGTCAAGGACAATGGACATATGACAGAAAGAAACTTCATGACATAAGGCATCTATAAACAAAGTATGAAGAATCCAGGTCTTCCACCATCTAAAATATAAACCTTTTAAGTAGTTAGTTAATGCCGCCGGATCACTATCCCTATGTCGAGCTTTCTGCGACACTGCGACAGAAGTAGCAGGCTCGACAAAAAAACAAATAGAAGGGGCTAATTAATGACTCATGAATTCAGTACTTAGCATAAAAAACAACAGACACAAAGTACCAATCTAAAAGTACTTGCAGATACTACTGAAAGCTAATTCAAATTCAAATGTCAACTCATAAATAAATCATGTTCTCCCAGACTATACCGGCTATTTTATCCGACTTTTAAGCAATAACTGCAAAAACCAAAAAATTTGGACAATGAAGTGAGAAAGGCCCGTATTGATTTTTGGGTTAATAAGTCAAAGATTATAGTCTCATCACCTGTTTTTTTTCCAGCAACCATAAACACGTTTCGATTGACACAATTTTAGCAAGATTTACTTCCCTTTTGTTGCCACTTAGAGGTCTACATGCACAAATTCCTCCCTAAATCAGCCAAATTTAAACTTGTTTACTGACCACTAGACTTTAGAAAAATTGTTTTCTAAACAATTCTAATTTCTTTTAGCCTAGCTTGGTTCATCAACATGATCTAGTAAGGATCTTTCATTAGACTTGTTTGTACTACAAGTTTCAATAAGGTTATAAGTCAAAAAGGAACATTAACCATTTACCTCTCCAAATTAGCTGCCAAGGGAAATAACTCAAACTATTGAAACCTATTTATTGGTGGACGTCATGAACTTGGGCAAAAGTTTGATTTCTGGATATGTCTTTTATGCTTAAATTTTACCAAACTATGTTTGAAAATGCCTCATGATATGACAAAGACCATTATTGGATTGAATGTCACTAGGTCAAAGATTGGAATTGGATCAACAGGTCATATTTCACGGTCTCAGCAATTATTCAAGAATAAAGTTTGGCCAAAATTTTGGTTACATATTCTTTTTGGAGAAGATACCTATTGACAGTGTTCTCAGAATTTTTTTTATATCATCCTGGAAAAGGGGAACAATGAAATACCTTCTTGTTTCTAGAAATTATAGCATCACATTCATTACACTATCTATAAGAAACTCATTTCAGATAGCATCACATTCTAGCAATATAGCATCACATTACCAGGCTGCAAACAGGCCCTGGGGAGAACACTGAAATTTGATTTTGAGGTCAATGGGTCAAAGGTTATAGTCACAGTATTTATTGATAGATTAGATTTGAACAAATTTTGGTTTCTAAATATCATTTTTAGAACCATGCATCCAACTTTTACCAAACTTACTTTCATAATTCCACATCAGGTGACAAAATTCACTGTTTATTTTGAGGTCAATTGAAAAAGGTGAAGGTCACCATATCAATTGATATACTGAATCTGGTCTCAAATTTGATTTAGTGGTATCTAAACCATGTGTCCAACAATAACCAAACAGCTGGAAAGTTTTCTTTTGAAAGAACAAGAACCTTATCTTTTTTAGGGTCAGAAGGTCAAATGTAATTTTTCATGATTATTTTTCTACTGGTCCAGTACCATTAACCATCAGAAATTTGCAGTTTTTCTCAAATAATTTTTACCTGGAAATAATATTTTAACATAAGGGTTACCAAAAGCTAGGTTTATCACCATAGACTCAGACTTTAATATCTCATATAAACAACAAAAAACAGATCACTTATAATAGTCTGCTGATTTTGTGGGAAATTTTATAGGGACGATGACCAGTTACCATCACTTTTTAATCCTGCCATTAAACAATAGAATTTACATTTAATAGGGACAATAATGTTATTTTTTGCTTTCATGTAGCAAGCAGAGAAGAAGGAATGACAATTGAACCTACCACATTGCCATTCTGACCATTATTTGGAAGGTCTCCTTCCTTGTCTGAATGTGAACTTTATGTCACTTAAAACAACCACTTACGCTGTATTGAAGCTATGTACAGATTTTTATTTTGAAAATCAGTTGATTGATTGGTGTTTATTGCCACTTTCAACTCTATTGTGCTATTTCATTGTTGGTCAGTTTTTATTGGTGGAGGAAGCCTTAGTGCATGGAGAGAACCACAACCTAGGGTAGGAAAACTGACAATCCTAGTCAATTAAGATTGGAGTCGAGTGCACCTGCCACGTGTGGGATTTGAACCCACAACCTCAGTACTGACAGGCTAGTGATACAGTAGTTAGACTACTTAGACCCCTCAGCCACGGAGGCCCCCTGAAAATTAAAAATCTTTTAAGAATTCTTTTGAAAGAAATTATATATTCTAAAGCAAGGTTAGATATTGCTTTGTCTTAAATCAGTTAGTTTTTCAAAATATATATTGTCCATGCCAATCAATACAGTTTATACCTTGATTATTACACAAGGGGAAGTCCTAACTTTTTTATTTTAGCAGTAAGTAAGTAACTATAAGTAAGTAAGTAAGAGACATAAAATGCATTTGAATTTTGTTTATAAAATTTTTAAAAAAATCCAGATTCACAGGTTTGTCTGCACTAAGCGTAAATAATTTGTGAGGTGCACCACGGACTTTCTTAGTCCAAATAATTACGACGTCTTGAAAGGCTATTATATTTTTTTCTTTGACACTTTACATCGATGTAAGGCATCAAAGAAAAAAAATATAATAGCCTTTCAAGACGTCATAATTATTTGGACTAGGACTTTCTATGCTATTCTATTAGTATAGAAGGTCCCTGTGTGCAAACACAGTCATTTTAGCCAAAGCACAGGGCACTAAACAAGCCCCTGTGGCAAAAGGGTCAAAACTTGGTGTGTGTTTTTTTTTTAATAAAGTCCACATACACTCCAAAATTTGTAACTGGTTTAAAATTATATGTTTTTAAAATGATTAACCTTTTATCAATGCATGTATTATTCTAGGATTTATGTCTAGTTGTTCTATTGCTGACATTTACTGATACAGAAAATACAAAATCAACATTTCCCGCCAAAACTAAATTTTACTTCCGTTTCCGTTTCGAAACGTAAACATTGATTTTTATTACAGACTTTTGAAACGACAGAAATTCATACAATGTCTTGCCAGCTCTCTGTATTTGCTCATTTCCAAGAAGTCTCATCACTAAGAGATTATCTCTTCCCTTGCTTTAAAGAAGAATCGACACAGAAGAGTGACAGTGGTGGTGAGACTGTTTTGAAAAAAAGGGGGATGGGTACCTTGCGGTCTAGCGAGTAGAAGAATTTTAGCGACAAGAAAAAAAACAATTAGCGACAAGAAAGTTTATTTACTATTAAAACAAGATTTATAGAAATTAAATCATCTGATTACACTGTACTGTAGGGTGCGAACATGTATTGGGAGCGAACGGACCCAACACCTTGGCTTAGAAGGTATCAAGTCGGTTTGCCCAGAGACCTTTCGCCCAAGGTCTGTTCGACTGCATTTTCAATTAAAATGTATTCTTGTAATTAAAATTGTGAATTTATGAATAATATGAAAGTATTTTAGATTCATGTTAAGCTGTTTGGTGTCAATAGTTTTTTGCCAATAAAATTTACCGATTTGAATCTGTTAATATTACATTTGTACACACTCTTATCCCTTTGCCAATTGTGGAAATACATTTTGGCAATGAGTCTATGAGCTTCTTGCAGGTAATCCTAGTCAGTGTCTTATATAATTATATACTGAAAGTGTCACACATACTAAACAGGCTTCACTTGCCATCATTACAAGAAAAAAGACTTAAAAACAGACTAAACATGTTCCATAGAATCATCAACAACAAAGAATCCGGGTCTGTTCGCCCAAATTACAATCACCCCCGTTCACGTTTGCACCCCACATGCTAATTTGGTGTTGTATTACAGCTATCATTTACAATAGAGTATCTATTTCCATATGTAAAGAAGAACTCGAGTTATATATTTGATTTATTATTATTTATTATGATATCATACATTCTAACAATTATTCAAAACAATATTGAATCATCCATGTCATCAAATCATTTAAAAAAAAATCATTTAAAATTCCCTAATTTTTATTCATGAAAATACGAATATGTTAATATACATCATCTGAAAAAAACATCTAATAATTCAACCAGTATTTGAATAAAAATAGGGGGCGAACATGTGGGGTGCGACTGACCCGATACCAACAACAAAATGCCATACCATATGATGACATCTAAGTTAAATGCAAAGCAGGGATGGGGTAATCGTAATCTGTAATCGTAATCGATTGTAATTGATTACATGTTTCCCAGTAATCGACAGTAATCTGTAATCGAAGACATTTTCGATTACATGTAATCGTAATTTAATCGATTACAGCAAAAATTAGGATGTAATCATCGATTACTTTCGATTACATTTCAATTACTTTTAGTGAAATAGTTTGATGAAATTAAACCTATTTTAAATGAAAATATATATGCATTCATCACTTTATAGTACAGATAAAATAGAAAGTATTTAGACTTCAGAGCTTATCAAATGCCTTATTTGTATCTATTGTCTCAAACTGCATTATGATCAACCAGAACTCCTACCAATTTTACTGTATATCCAGCTTTTTAAACAATTGACTTAACTGTCTTCAATGCTTGTCAATTATTTAAAGACCTTTTATTTTGAAATAAGTAAATAGATAAAAATAAGAAATGAGTATTATGTTAAGTTCTGTACTACTTTGACATTGAAGTGTAATTTTCAATAAGATTTGGAATTTTAGCTAAACTAGATACACAGTGGATTCGTTATAATATTATGATATAAAAATCAGAAAGTACACAATGTACCAATTGATTTGCATTGAAATTCTTGTTCAGAAATAGATACATGTATCAAATATTGACACTAAAATATATCTTGTTAAATATCATGATTTTGAATAGAGTATAGAAAAATCCCAACAAATTCCCGTGTTTACTAATCAGATGATCAAGGACTTCTAATTAATAAGATGTTTTGATTTCAATTATGTCTAATTAAGAGGAGATTGACATTATATTTCCCAAGGTTATGAAATGTACTCCATTGGCAGTTTTATAACCTGTAATTAGGGAGATTATCCAAACAAAATAATTAATTCATGCATGTATTAGTTAGAAATATAATAAATTTACATCTTTGAAATTAGTTGAACAAGTTAATTATTCTTCTTTTTACATTTTAATTGTTAAATATATACTATATCAAATATAGTTAAAAATTAATAAATACAAAATACCTAACTTAAGTCATTATGACAGCAAAACTTGTAAAAATATAGAGACATGTGAAATAAACTAGACTATAAAGAAGTGACTGAAGCCATGTGGTGTCATTGCAAGAACTTTATTACATCTCACTCATGTAGATAACCAGATTTTAAAGAATTTTTGAATATTTCAAATCCTCAGTGAGAGCTTCTATCTAGAAACAAACTGTCAACTTAAACTTTGAAAACAATGCTTTCAATGAAGTTTTGATCAAGTTATAAATTTCCCCTATACATAACAAAATGTTTGTGTTTAACTTACTTTATTATTTTTTTGTAATTTTATAGCATGTAATTGACAGTAATCGAAAAGTAATCCAATTACTTTTGATAAAGTAATCGATTGCAATCGATTACATACAAAAATCAGAGTAATCGATTATTAATCGAATACACAAAGATCCCTCAAGTAATCGATTATTAATCGATTACATTTGTCAGTAATCGTGCCCATCCCTGATGCAAAGCAAAGAATAGATCTAATCACGAACAAACATTCAGACAAATTCGATGCAGCAAAGACAGTTACAAATTTTCTTTCTTTTGCCAAACTTTAAAACATTGAAACAAATTACCTAACCAATAGCCAGCATCACAAATAGTGGTGGCTTCAAGGAGAAAGTCACCTAAGAAATTCTCCCTGATACTTACCCATACCTTCATGCATGATCCATAACTTGTATTTATCTTATAAAAAAAAAAAAAAAAATGGAATTGCACAAATACAAATATAATAAACTTGTACATGTTGTAGAAAAATTGATATGAAAATTATAAATTTGTAATTATTAACAATGCTGTAAAACCAGGCATGCGCCTGAAAGCAATCATTAACCAGTTGAAGTTTTTCTGTGAATGAAGAAGAAGAATTATGAAAGTAACAACCTTGTAAAGTAAACAACCAATAGAGCAAGCAACGGTGAATGTGCCAATTTGAAAACAAACAAACAAAAAACAATTTATTTTTACATTTTAATTCCGTTGATCTCATCTCTAAGTAAAACTAACAGGATTTGGTATAATGGTCAGATGACAGCTATCCAAAAGGCCAAAGGACAATGAAAGAGGTTCCCGAACATGTTTATGTTTTTAGCATAACCAAGGATTTTTATATTCATTAAAACCCTTTTCCTGGCCTTAACCTTTTCCAAATTTTTAATTACAACATTTATTATTCACATTATAGGATCATGATTATACAACACAACTAACATGACAAACAAAACAATAAAAAATATTATGGGGGGAAAGGACTTGGAGGCCAACTAACTTGGAGGGCAAACTGACCACAGTTCAAAAGGTTGATCAAGTCAAAATCCATTAATGCTTGTCATAGAATTGATAAAACTTAGCCAAGTGCTGTGTAAAAGTTAACCGAAACATATATAGAAAATGTTTTCTTATTTGAGTAAAAAGTTGGTGATTAGATTATAAATAGGGTTTAGGAAAGGCCTCTAGCACATTTTTATCTTCTTCTTTGTGATTTTGCCTTTACATCATTCTGTAGGCATTGACAAATTTAATTAAGGAAGTATGGACAATTTTTTGTTATATCTTTGTAGGAAACGATGCCTGGACTGAGGATTGGAGTTGGAATGAAGATGAACAGATGGAACAAGATGACTCGGATTCATCTCAGTCAACCGAGGAGAATAACCACAACTGGTTACAGGACTGTCTCATATCCATCTCACCTGCTAATGATCTCATGGCTGTTGCATATTCTGACAAAATTGTCCTGCTCTCTCGTATGTAGTCTTTACCTGTTTTAAAATTTTGAACCTAAACATTATGCTTAGAAAATACAGTAGAAAATGGTTAAGTCAATTTAGCATGCCTCTATGACGTCATTTACCAGATAGAAGTGTGCCTGTATCCCTGCACTATGAAAGTTTCAAGCACTTTCAGAATCATCATTCTGCAGGGTAGTTTAGAAATGATTACTGTTCCGTAAGTCTGTAATCTTAATTCCTTGATGATGGAAGTCACATGACAGATTCAACTAACTACTGTATCCTGGAACTGGCGTATTGTTGGTAATAAATGCCCCACAACATATAAAACATACAATACAAGGGCTTAGCAGTGCTCTTCTATAAAGTATCTGTTATGTGTGTTTTATATTTCACTTCATACATGTTGTATCATGTATATGATAAAAGAGATGATTTTTCATTTCCTATCGTTAATTATCCATTTTTAGATGGTGACGTTCCCTTGTCACCATCTTACGGTGTTTATATATCTCAACTTGTACGATTCGCTCGTGTATGTAACAATGTTTTAGATTTTAACGAGAGAAATTTATGTATTACTGAAAAATTATTACACCAGGGTTTTCGATATCACAAACTAGTCAAAACATTTACTAAATTTTATCATCGGTATAAGGACATCATTCGTAAATATAGCTCAACATGCAGACTTCTTATACGTTCAGGTATTTCACATCCAATTTTTTATGGAAATATTCTTTATAAAGCACAAAAATGTCAGTATTCACCTCTGAAACTAACAAAACCTTTAAATAGACTTATTAAGAAGGGATATAGTTACGATACTGTTGTCAGGTCATTAAAGATTGCATATTTTGGCGTTAATATTGATTCACTTATAAGGTCTTTGCATCGGCACTAAACACTTTTATTTAAAAACCAGTTGTTGGCATGACACGGGTTATGTTCTTCTCATATATGTTATGATGGTATGATACTAAACC